CATATGATAACTTTGAGTAAAACAACAAGAACTGTGTGATGGAATGATGATGTCATCTTACAATTTTGTGGAATAAATGTTATTTAAATGTTAAAAGGTAACATAGTCCTGAACTTGTGGTTTATGAATTCATGTTGAATTTTTATCCTAGACGTTGAGATTTTTGGGAAAAAATCAAAATTGTAGATTGTAGAAATAAAATGTTTTCCATGTATCAATTTTTCGGTTTTTCGATGTCTCAATTTTTTATTTTTGATTTTTCACTTTTTCGATATTTCAATTTTGGGATTTTTCAGTTTTGAGTCTTCAATTCTTCGATTTTTCAGTTTTTCAGTTTCTCCATTTTCAACATTTCGATTACACAATTTTTCGATATTTCAGTTTACGGGTTTTTCAATTTTTCGATTCTTCAAATTTTTGATTTCCAGATATTTTCGATTTTTCAATTTTTCGAGTTTTTAATGTTTAGATTTGTCGATTTTTCAGTTTTTCGATATTTTAATTTTTCAATTTTGGTTGGTTTTCAGTTTTTAGATTTTTCAGTTTAGAGATTTGTCAATTTTTCTATTCTTCAAATTTCCGATTTCTCGATATTTTTGTAATTTTCGATTTCTGACATTTCCGATATTTCAGTTGCCCTGTTTTTAATTTTTCGATTTAATTTTTCAATTTTTGACATTTCCAAATTTCGATATATCAGTTTTAGGATTTTTCAATATTTCGATTCTTCAATTTTTCTATTTTTCGTTTCCTCGATTTTTTACTTTTTCGATTATTCTGTTTTGGATTTTTCATTCTCGATTTTTTATTTTTTGGGTTCTTCGATATTTCTATTTCTCAATTTTTCGATTTTTTTAATTTTAGATTTTCTCGTTTTTTGATGTTTCGATTTTTCGACTTTTCGATTTTTCGACTGCTTGGTTTTAGGTATTGAGGTTTTTTAATTTTTCGATCTTTAAAATTTTTGATTTTTCGATTTTCTAATATTTCAATCTTTTTTATGTTTCGTTTTTCCATTTTTCTGATATTCCAGATTTACGATTTTTCAACAGTTGGATTCAATTTTTCAATGAAATTTTAGATTATCCTATTTTTTGATGTTTCGATTTTCCGTTTTTCTGATATTCCAGATTTACGATTTATCAATTGTTGGATTCAATTTTTCAATTTTTGGCATTTCTAAATTTTCGATTTTTCGATTTCCCAATGTTTCGATCTCAGTTTCGGGATTTTTCAATATTTCGATTCTTCAATTTTTCGATTTCGAAACTTTTTAATTTTTCGTTTTCTCAATTTTTTACTTTTTCGATTATTCAATTTTAGATTTTTCAATTTTTCAATTTCTCGAATTTTTTATGTCGATTTGCCGATTTTCCAATTTTTCAATTCTCCAATTTTCTGATACTTTAATTTTTAAAATTTTTTCGATTTTATACTTTTCGATTTCTCGATTTTCTTATTTTTCAGTTCTTCGATATTTCTATTTTCAATGAAATTTTAGATTATCCTATTTTTTGATGTTTCGATTTTCCGTTTTTCTGATATTCCAGATTAACGATTTATCAATTGTTGGATTCAATTTTTCAATTTTTGACATTTCTAATTTACGAATTTTTGATTTTTCAATTTTTCAATTTTTTTATTTCAATTCCTTTCTGAATTTTCATTTTTTCGATTTTTTACTTTTTCGATTATTTAATTTGAGATCATTAAATTTTTCGACTTTTTGATGTTTCGATTCATGGATTTTTCGATTTTTCGATATTTTCATTTTTGAATTTTTTTTCAATTTTACATTTTTCAATTTCTTGATTTTCGATTTTTCAGTTTAGAGATTTTTAGATTTTTTAAATCATTCAAATTTTCGATTTCTCGATGTTTCTGTATTTTTCGATTTCTCACTTTTCCGATTTTTTAATTTGTTCCATTTAATATTTGTAATTTTGACATTTCTAAATTTTCGATTTTTGGATTTCCCAATGTTTCGATCTCAGTTTCGGGATTTTTCAATATTTCGATTCTTCAATTTTTCGATTTCGAAACTTTTTAATTTTTCGTTTTCTCAATTTTTTACTTTTTCGATTATTCAATTTTGGATTTTTCAATTTTTCAATTTCTCGAATTTTTTATGTCGATTTGCCGATTTTCCGATTTTTCAATTCTCCAGTTTTCCGATATTTTAATTTTTCAATTTTTTTCGATTTTAGACTTTTCGATTTTTCGATTTTTTTATTTTTTAGTTCTTCGATATTTCTATTTTTAACTGAAATTTTAGATTATCCTATTTTTTGATGTTTCGATTTTTTGACATTTCGATTGTTCTACTTCTTGGTGGATTATATTCGGTTTTTTAATTTCTCAGTTTTTAAAATTTTTGATTTTTCGATTTTCCAATTTTTTAATTTTAAAAATTTTTAGTTTTCTATTTTTGAAATTTTTCTATTAATGGAGATTTCAATATTTCTGTTTTTTGATTGTTCAATTTCCCAATGTTTCAGTGTTCCGATTTTTTTTAAATTTTAAATTTTCGAATTTTTCAATTTTTCAATTTTGGGTTATTTCAATTTTTCAATTTTTAGAATTTTCGACTTCTCGACTTTTCGATTTCTCGATCTTTTGATATTTCGATTTTTCGATGTTTCAGTTTTTAATTTTTTTGATTTCCCAGTTTTTCGATATTTCGACTTTTGAGCTTTTCGATTTTTCGATTTTCCAATTTTTCAATGTTTTGATTTTTCAATTCTCCGATTTGCCAGATTTTCGAAATTTTAGTTTTGATTTTTCAGTTTTTCGATTCTTCAATTCTTCGATTTTTGAAATTTACGTTTTTCGATTTTACGATCTTTTTATATTTCGATTTCCCGATTTGAAATTTTTTAATGTGTTTGTCAATTCTTCGTGTTTTCAAATTTTTGATTTTTAGATTTCGCAAATTTTTCGATATCTCAGTTCGGGGATTTCTCAATAATTCGATTTTTTGATGTTTCGATTTGTTAATTTTTCAGTTTTCCGATTTTTCAGTTTATGGATTTTTCAATTTTTCAATTTTTCGATTCAATTTTCCAATTTTTGACATTTCTAAATTTTCGATTTTTCGATTCTTCAATTTTTCGATCCCTCAACTGTTCGATTTTTCGTTTTCTCGATTTTTTACTTTCTCGGTTATTCAATTTTGGATTTTTCAATTTTTCAATTTCTCGATTTGTTGATGTTTCGATTTGCCGATTTTCCATATTTTCAATTCTCCAGTTTTTCGGTATTCTAATCTTTCAATTTTTTTCATCTTTCGATTTTTCGATTAATCGTTTTTTGATTTTTCAGTCCTTCGATAATTCGATTTTCCATTTTTCGAATTTTTAAACTTCAGATTTTCCCGTTTTTTGATGTTTCGATTTTTCGATATTTCGTTTATCCGACTTCTTGGATTTAGATTTTTTGGTCTTTTAATGTTTCAGTTTTTAAAGTTTTATTTGATTTTCCAATTTTTCAATTTTAAAAATTTTTGATTTCCATTTTTGTAATTTTTCTATTAATGTCCAAATTGTCCAATTTCTTAATGCTTCAGTTTTTCGATTTTAAATTTTCGAACTTTTCAATTTATCGATTTTGGGTTATTTCGATTTCTCAATTTTTAGAATTTTCGACTTCTCGACTTTTCGATTTCTCGATCTTTTGATATTTCGATTTTTCGATGTTTCAGTTTTTAATTTTTTTGATTTCCCAGTTTTTCGATATTTCGACTTTTGAGCTTTTCAATTTTTCGATTTTCCAATTTTTCAATGTTTTGATTTGTCAATTCTCCGATTTGCCAGATTTCGACATTTTAGTTTTGATTTTTCAGGTTTTCGATTCTTCGATTTTTGAAATTTACGTTTTTCGATTTTACGATTTTTTGATATTTCGATTTCCCGATTTGAAATTTTTTAATGTGTTTGTCAATTTTTCGCGTTTTCGAATTGTTCGATATCTCAGTTTTGGGATTTTTCAATATTTCGTTTCTTCAATTTTAAAAATTTTTGATTTTCAATTTTTGCAATTGTTGTATTAATATCCAAATTGTCCAATTTCCCAATGTTTCAGTTTTTCGATTTTAAATTTACATTTTAAATTTTCGAATTTTTCAATTTTTCGATTTTGGATTATTTCGATTTCTCAATTTTTAGAATTTTCGGGTTCCCGATCTTTTGATATTTCAATTTCTCGATGTTTCAGTTTTGCGATTTTCTAATTCGTCGATGTTTCGATTTTTCATTGTCTCGAGGTGTCAGGTTTTCATTTTTTGAAATTCACGTTTTTCGATTTCCCGATTTGAAATTTTTTAATGCGCTTCTTCGAATTTTCAATTTCCCAACATTTCGGTTTTTCGATTTTTAAAATTTTTCGACTTTTCATTTTTTTTGCAATTGTGGGAATTTTTGAATTTCTGGTTTTTTCAATTTTTTGATTTTTTAAATTGCGCTCCTCATACCAATTTTAACTAAAAATCCAAGTTTGCCAACAAACTCAGTCATGTCTAATCACGCGGTAGATTCTTCGATTTTTTGAGTATTCGGATTTCGATTTTTCAGTTTTTCAATTTTTAAAATTTTGGATTTTTCGATGACGCAAACATAATATGCAAAGTAAAGAAATTTTCAAGTTTCAAATGCTCAGCACGATAGTGATTTTAAGCGCTCAAGGAAGTTCGGTTATGACCATGTTATCACATTTTAATAATTATTATCAATGACAAATTTTAGGTAAATTAAATGTCACTTGTTCTGTGACGTCACTGGCACGTCAGGTTTAACAAGTAGGTGGAGCAACAGGTTTACCAAAATCAAAATTCATTGATACCAACTGAAACAGTCTTGTTAATCACGCTGTATTTGTTTAAATAATACGATTCTTCAATTAAAACACATTTTTCCATTTATTTAAGAAAAATTGAATTTTTATTTTTAGAAATCGGCAACTTATTTGGTGTAATCAGTGACACCAACGTAACGATTGACGTCATTTGACAGCACGTTACTGGGTGGTGGTGGTGGTGTGTTGTTTTGCGATGGTTATGTTTTGATTGTTATTTCTGCTTTATACGTTATTGTTATTGATTTATTAGAAGATTTCGCAACCTGCGTTGACTCGAATTATTTATTGCGTAGTTAAATATAGTCAGAAATATGAGCCAAGATAAGGTGTCTTTGTTACGGGATCCAGCCGTTGGGGTTTCCACGTCTTTGGAGGGTGCTAGAACATACGATTCAGTGGTAAACCGTAAAATAACATACGTAGTTGTTTGATAACAGTAACAATATTGTTATAGGAACCTCAGCCAGCGCAAGAGCACAACAGTCAGATTAACTCTGGCCCTCGAAGGCTTCCTCAATATGTGGCAACTGTAACAGGTAACGGAGTTTTTTAAGTAACGTATGTACGTAAAATAAAGGTTTTGTTTTTTGTAGCAACTCTGTCAGCACTGTCAGCTGGAGCTGTTCTTGGCTGGACTTCACCCATCCAAAGCGACATCGAGCATGGCCAATTCCACAATATTACGGTAAATAGCGACCAGATGGGCTGGATTGGATCCTTCGTAACGCTGGGGGGCATGATCATGTGCGTCCCCACGGGTTTTCTCTGTGATTTAATAGGCCGCAAAAAAACACTCCTCCTCCTCATAGTTCCTTTTGCAATAGGTTGGTCCTTAATTTTATTTGCCAAGACTATTGTAATGTTGTATTTGGGGCGTTTTTTCACTGGAATGGCGGCGGGAGCGTCATGCGTTGCCGCCCCTTTATACACCAGTGAAATCTCCCAAAAAGAAATCCGGGGTACTGTAGGCAGCTACTTTCAATTAATGGTAACAATAGGAATTTTCCTGGCTTATTTCTTTGGGAAGTTTTTAACACCTATGAACTACACGATTTTTTGCGCCTGTCTTCCCCTAGTATTTTTAGTTACTTTTGCTTTTCAACCAGAAACCCCCGCTTATTGTTTAAGTAAAGGCCTGTACGACGACGCTTTGAAATCTTTAGTAAGGTTAAGAGGGACCAGTCATAACAACGAAGCCGAACTAGCGGAAATCGAAGGCGCGCTAAAAGAAAGCCTTGAAAACACAATTTCGATGTCACAAACTCTGCGAAAAAAGGCAAACTTGATGGCTTTTCTCATCGCTTTCGCGTTAATGTTTTTCCAACAGTTTAGCGGAATTAACGCCGTTATTTTGTACACGAGCGACATCTTCACGTCGGCTGGTGCCAACCTGGATGCCAAAACAGCGGCAATTATAGTCGGAGCATTCCAAGCTGTAGCCACTTTTGTATCGTCTTTAGTTATTGATAAACTCGGCCGAAAAATCCTACTTTTCGTGTCATCTCTAGTCATGGCACTGTCGAGTTTCATTTTAGCTATTTTTTTCACTTTGAAAAGTCGCTCGTCGATAGATGACGATGTTTTAAACGAAATCGGTTTCATTCCTATCGTGTCTTTGTGTGTTTTCGTTGTGGTGTTTTCGATCGGTTTGGGTCCGATTCCCTGGATGATCTCTTCAGAAATTTTCACGCCGGAGATTAAGAGCGTAGCGAGCTCAGCTGCGGGAACTTTTAACTGGTTTTTGGCGTTTCTGGTCACGAAGTTCTACCTCCAGGTGAACGAAGCCGTAGGGGAGGATTCTACGTTTTACGCGTTTTCGGTGATGTCGTTGTTCAGCGGGTTGTTCGTTTATTGGGTGGTCCCTGAAACGAAGGGGAAAACTGTCGAACAAGTCCAGGAGGAACTCGAGCGTTAGGATCTTATTCACTGATCTGTATGTTGTTTCACAATATACCCACGTTTGTCAGTGTTTAGATTAGTAATACAGACGTATTTAGTACTTAAGTGGCCCTAAAAACTTTTTTTGTATACGAGAAGTGCAATGAAGCTGGGTCGGATGTGCGCGAAACTCGCGTTTTTGTGCACTGCGCAACTCGTAATAAAGTCTTTAAAAAAATTCTATTGATTGTATGAAAAACGGAACGGAGTTTTGCTGACGTCCGAACCGAGCTTTCCAACAATGAAAGTCTGACTAAATTACTCTAAGCCAGGGTATCGTTAGCATTTTTGTGATTTGTATGTGTTAAGGAAATCAAAGTATTTTTGGACCGTCGTTAAATAATTTTATTAAGTCGAGTTGAAGTGTTTTGAAGCCGGGATCGAAGTACCTTAAATATGTTATTAATATGCATTTAAGACAGTTTGTTTTTGTTGACGTATTTTTATTAAGTCCGCTTGACTGCTGCTGTCAAAATAAAAAATACTTTTTTTTTTTTTTAATTAATAAAATATTACGTAGAACTGCCAACAATGGTGGAATGGTTTGACAATAGAGAAAAAAATAAAATCTAGGGAAATAAATCTCGAGTTTTAATCAAAGTTATGCCGTTTTTAAAGTTGTAGATATTGCGTAAAATACCGAGAGGGGTATTGTTTATAGAACTTTAGCACTATCTATAACTGGAATTTTACGTGAGATTAAATGGATTAAATGATTGAACAGATGTTTGCTACAAAGCGATAAGAACGTGTAACAAAATAATATCATAAAGTAATGAAGTATTTAAAATGAAGTGGCTGGAGATCAAACTTGGCACTAAATACCCATGACTTATTTATAATTTTTAGTCACAATTTTGTGTATTTAAAAAAAAGTGGTTCGATTTCATATTACTGTTGACAAAAAATTCAAACAACGAGTAACTAAGATATAATCAAATGCAAAATTACGTTGGACTTTTTTGAGTTATTATTTATATATTTTTTTAGTAGCATTAAACCCAGTGTAATACGAATAATACGATAAATATAACTGATATTGTACGGATGTTCTAATCCTGAAAATCCGACACAATCATTGACTGTTAATTTGATTGACAGGAGTTTATCTTCAATTTTTTTTTTTTGCTCTACAACATAAAAACAAGTTTGTTGAGTATATGTCATAATAATTAACATCTCAGTGTGTGTTGGAAATTCAAATTTATGTTGGCAAAATCGTCAAAAAACGAGTCAAATATACAGACTTTCTCAAATTTGAATTCATTCATAACCTCAAAATGTTAGGGGTAGTTTATATAAGCATGGCCACCAGAAATGTCAAAAACTCTGAAATGTACTGCAGATGAGTTGCAGAGATTTTAAATAATTTTGGCATATTTTCGACTTCTTCGTAACATTTTACTGTTTAAATTATAGTAGATTTCAGATGAATCTGCATCGCGGGTGGCCTTGACAAGTTGGAGTTTACGTTGGTATCCCTCTTCGTCTGTCAGATTTAGGGTTGCTACAGTTTGCTGTCATTTTGAAATATTAGTACCACACCAACTGTCAAAATCGCATTGTTATCTTTAGGGTTGAGATTTATTTAGGAACTAAATTAAAGTGCGTTCACACGTTTAAAGCCAACTTGATGCAGATTCATTGTATATTTCAAAATCGTGATCAATGCAGATGGCTGTGAAAATTCGAAGTAAAGTTCATCATCAGTCACTCTTATCTTAGCAGGTACTAGCCCCGCTCACTCGCCCGCTCTTTTTTTAGAGGGTATGTGATTTGCCAAAATCAGTTTTATCTTAGCAGGTTCTAGCCCCACCCACCCACCCTCTCTTTTCTTACAGAATGTGTTATTTGCCAAAATCAGTTTTATCTAAGCAGCTTCTAGCCCCGCCCACTAACTCTTTTTTTTTCTTAGAGGGTATGTAATTTGCCAAAATCAGTTTTATCTTAGCAAGTACTGATGTTCATATTAATGTTGACAAAAAAGTAAAAAAACTGGGTTGTTATTTATTAATTTTTTTAGTAGTGTTAATCCAAGTGTAATAGTAATAATACGATAAATATAACTGATATTGTATGGATCTTCTGATCCTAAAAATCCGGTACAATCATTATTGACTGCTAATTTGGTTGACAGACGTTTATCTAAAATCTCTTGTTTTTCAGATTTTTTTTTGCGCTGTAACATAAAAACAAATTTGTGGAGTATATTTCATAATAATTAACATTTCAGTCTACGTTGGAAGTTCAAATTTATGTTTGCAAAATCGTCAAAAAACGAGTCTAGTGTTTTAAAATTTACAGTGGTTCAGTATATAAAAACATAAAATGACGACCATAACCGTCAACTTGTCAGATATTCAAACTTTCTCAAATTTCAATTCATTCATAACCTCAAAATGGGCATTGACAGTTTGATAACCAAAACATAGGATAGTTTTTTTTTAAACAACTTTAAATTTTCTCTCTTTTATTTCCGTAAGTTTTTATGAATTTTGATATGATTTACCTATGATAGAATTAAACTATTTTTGTTTCTTCAATCAAATTACGAGTTTTAACTATTTTTATTAAAATTGGTATAACTTTCAAAAAAGGGTTCGTCTTTATGGATGAGTCAATTAAAACTTTGTAGACTTATAAAAACAAAAAACGTGTTTTAAAACATAAAAACAGATTTTTTTTAAAACCATTTTTTTACATCTCTGTGACCAACCGAGATGTCAAAAATTCTGAAACGTATTCCACATAAGTTGAAGAGACTTTAAATAATCCATTTTGGCATATTTTTGACTTCTTCGTAACATTTTTACTGCGTAAATTATAGTAGACTTCAGATGAATATGCATCGCGGGTGGCCTTGTCAAATTGGAGTTTACGTTGGTATGAACGAAATGTCCCTTCTCGTCTGTCAGATTTAGGATTGCTGCACCTTGCTGTCATTTAGAAAGAGTTTTAACATCTCAAAATCCCTATTGGTATTACAGCAACTGTCAAAATCGTGATTTATTTGGAACTATATTAAAGTGCGGTCACAGTTTAAAGCCAGTTTGATGCAGATTTATTGTTTATTTATTGTGGATGCAGATGGCTGTGAAAATTCGAAATACAGTTAACCCTACGTCAAGTATAGTAACTTTGAAATTATGAAATTCTTTGTTGACATTTCAATTATCTTGTCAAAAACAAGTGTGTATAGAGACGTTGAAAAGCTGGTGTTTATTAAATGGGTTCGTTTTTTGTTTTAAAACCTGTGTTTTTGTTAAAAACATTTATCAGTTAGAATTAAATAAGCAGTTAAAATATAGGAGTACTTTTTAACGTAAACTAGCAAATATTTGTTATCTAATGGTCTCAAAAAAATTAAATTTGACCTACTTGGATGACAACAAATACTTCGAAAATATGCTTGTTCAACACCATGCTATCATAACCTCAAAATTTTAAATACAGATTAATAGGAGAAATAATTTTGTTGTTTTATGGCACGGTTTTATATATTTTATAATATAAGAAATTTATAAAAAATATTTTTTCTAAAATTAAAAAATTTCAGATCTTTCTCATGGTACAAGAGGGCATGGTATGATATTGCGCATTTTATATTTGTATCTATATGTTATTAGGATCTGATTTGAACTTAGCACCTTCGAAGATAAGTTAACCATGATTAAAAACTTAACCGAATCTCAACCTCCGTTATAACCTCACATATCATATCCACTTTCAATTTTTCAATTTTTAATTTTTCCCTGCTTCAATTTTTAGGTACTAAAGTTTTTCATTTTGAATAATATTTCAATTTTTCATGTATTGATTTTTTTTACTTGGCCTAAGTACGAAAAAAATAGTCTCCCGTTTCCGTCTGTCTGTCTGTATCCATTTTTATTAGACACGTAATCTCGGAAACTGCTGGACCGATTGTTGTCAAATTTTGTATGTATGTTAGAAATATCATGCTATGGTTATCTTTGTTTTTTTTAATATACCTATAGATTTCTTTCAACAACAGGAAAGTTAAACATGTTTTCAGTTCTTGTTGGGAAAAAAAGATTTCGTATATTAAGAAAAAATGGACAAAATATAAGCCCCACCCACCCACCCCTTTTCAATTGTGATGAATGTTTTTTCATTAATTTTTGTTTTTTTGTTTTTTTTTTTTTTAATATATAGAGTTTTCTTTCAACAATAGGATAGTTAAACATGTTGTCCGTTTCTTGTTGGGAAAAGATTTCGTATATTAAGATAAAATGGACAAAATGTGAGCCCCGCCCACCCACCCTTTCTCAATTGTGATGAATGCTTTATTCATCGTAAGCTGGAGGGCGGAGTTTTGTTGCAAAATTCTCATTTCTCTACAAGAAATTATCATAGGAAATATGTTTTTGAAAGGGTAGAATTTTTTAGAGAAATAAGTATTGATGTTACAATTAAACTCCGCCCTTCAGTCTAACAACGAATGAAAAATTCACTACAATTGAGATCGGGACGGGTGGGTGGGGCTTAATCTTTTTTTTTCTTTTCTTTATATACGTAGTTTTCTTTCAACAATTTTTTGGCGCCAAGAACAAGAGATATTATAATAAAAAACATAAAGTCAATCTATTATTCAATAATTTTGGGCTGTACTCCTAATGTAAGTCACGTAGAATAACTTTTTTTTCGAAAAACTGAAAAATCGAAAAATTCAAAATTAAAAATTGCAAAGTCTAAACATTTTACGAGTTACATATGTATAAAATTGAAGAAAGAAAAAAGAAAACTTGAAATATTGAAACATTTAAACTTAGAAACTAGAAAAAATGCAAATCGAAAAAATGAAGAAAAAATTCAAAGTCAACTAAGCTGCGGGAATGTTATCTACGCCATTGGTTTTTACTTTATAGAGGTTATCAGAAAACAAAAATCGCCAAAAAAATTATAATTTTCATTCGACCAGTTTTTTATTTTTCGCTCAGTATTTTAATTGTTGGTTTTTTCAATTTTTGAATATTTCAACTTTCAAGTTCACGATTAACAACTTTTGGTTTTCAGCTTCTCAACTTTTGATTTCTGGATTTCTCAATTTTTGGATACTTTTATTTTGTTTTCACTTTTTCGATTTTTCAGTTTTTCAATTTTTTTCCTCTTTTTGTTAATGGAATTTTTTGATTTGTAATTTTTAGATCTTACAGTTTTTCAATTTTTCGTTTTATCAATATTTCCAATTTTCAGTTTCTTGATTTTTCAATTTTTCGATATTTCACCTTTCAGTTTTTCAAATTACAACATCTGGTTCTCGAGTTTTAATTTTTCGATTTTAAGTTTCTTATTTTTTGATTTATAATTTTTTCGTTTCTTCCATTTTTTGATTTACAACTTTTAGTTCTTACAGTTTTTATAGTTTTCGATTTTATAATTTTTGGATCTTTCAGATACTTACTTTGAATTTTTTTAATACTTCGATTGTGTTGTTTCTCAATTTGTCTATTTTCCATTTTTCGTACATGATTTTTCAACTTTAACATTTTTAATTTTTCACTTTTTCAGTTTTTGTGGTATTGTATACAGATGTTTTTTGGGTAGTATTACTATTATTATTTTCAGTTTTGACGGTAACATTGGCATTTTGAAAAAATTATCTTGTTTTTGGAATTTTGGTGACGCTACCATAAAAACAAAGCTAGTAAAAAACTGTGGAAGGGAAGGTTATTTTGACAGAAACAAAAAATTATAAATTTAGATTTTGCGATTTTCGTTTTGTGATAACTGTTAACCTCCATTAAATTGCATAATTAACATCTCCGTAACTTCTGCGTCTTTAAATATGAAATATACTTAAAGCAGATAACTAACGGGAAAAAATATAGACATTCTCAGTTTCTCAGTATATGCTTAACTTCGACTGTTTATGTTTATACTTCGACCGAATTCGAGGTTAGCACGTTCAGATTACAAGATCAGCGGTTAAAAGAAAATGAAATTTCATTGATTTTGTATCCTCGCTTTTGCAATTTTAAAGTTACATTGTAAAATACATTTTTTTATACCAGGCCAATTTTGACGTTGAAGAGTTTTTCTTTTTTTTCGTAAACATCTCGAAGTCGGCGGTTCCTATATGGATCCATTGGAATCATGGTCAAAATCTTCGTGAATTTTCAATCATTTTGACAAATCAAGTGTAGGCCAGAGTCCACTTCAAATTCTGGGTGATTGTTTTGAAGCAAATTTTTGTGTTGGCAATTCTGGATTATTGGCAGGAGTGCTAGTATGTCAGTACAGTTGTCAATTCGACACGCAGGTATGCCAACTTAAAATTTTAAATATGTTCCCAACCTGATAAAAAAAATCACAAACATTTAATGATCCCTCACTATTTATCCAGACTTGTAACATTTGTATTATTAATTTGAAAGTGATAGTTTTTTTGATAGCAGCAGTCAAAATACGAGATCGTAATTAAGTTAGTTTTTTTTATTACAAAACAAATCGTTGTAACATGTTTTTTGTTTTATTAATCAACTTAATACCTCACGTACAAACTCATCAGTTCCTTTACGTAATAAAACGTGTTCATTTCATCCAAAAACCAGTTTAACATAAAAGATTTATTGAGACACTTAGGTACATTTAAAGCTTAACAACATGTGAACATTTTATATCTAGTCATATGTATATTTATGTATGTTTCCTGTACAAAAGTTTGGTCTCTATACAAATAAAATATATATAAAACGTTAATTATTACCGACTCTTAAACCGGAATGGACCCCCTCCTGGAACATTCAGCGGCCAAACTGCCATGGGACAACGTTGAATACGACTTGTGCAATTTACTACAGGTGCAACAACATAAATCCTTCATTATCCCCCCTAGACTGTCGTTAGAGGCAGTCCGAAAAATCCCACTAGAAACATCCTCGAAGTTGGTATCACCGATAAAAATCTGCAAATCGCTACGAGGGAAACCCTCAGTGTAGTACACCTTAATGGTATCATAGGCGTCCATTATCACAGAAATAAATAAACTTAGAATTATGTAAATGTACAAACTGATGAAGGTATACAGGTAGATTTTACTGAACCACCACAACATGGTCGATTTACTGGACATTATCGAGAAAGTGGCAAACATGTCGTCACCGTTGATTAACGAAAACAGACACTCTGAAGTAGTCGACAGAGAGCGGAACTTCAAGTGGTAAGGCCCCAAAATCAGCCAACCAGAGAAAGTAAAACCTGCATAAATAAGTAGAGCACAAAGTAGAAACCTCGCTACTTGTGGAGCCGCCTTTTCTAGAGTTAATATCACAACGTTGTAGTTTTTGAAAAAAGTTAGGTATCTAAGAACCCCAAACCACACCAACATATTACCTAAACCCAAAAACAGACTACAGACATTCCATTGGTCGCTTGTGAATTCCTCACGTTCGATTTGTTCTTTGATCGATGACCCAATCATGATCAAAACGTCGTTAATTATAATCATTATGTACCACAAATTTAAAAATTTGTTCCTGTCGTGTTGACTCAAAGGCCGGCCGAAATTCGCGATGAAGAACGTGTTGGTGACGTTTTTGAGCTGCTGGGCCCGCCAGACAGCCCTACTACACAAAACGAACGACATTATGCAGATGATTATAACGAAATAGTTGAGAACGCTTTGTAAGAGTGAATCGATTTCGTCATCGGTGACGTACTTGACGTCCCCTTTACACATCAATCGCACTGGTTGAGCATCCAACCATAACAACATCTGCCCGTCGTGGTCTTCGTTATCAAAATTAATACTAATGTCAAAGCGGTAACAATTCGGGGGCGAGATTCGACCTGCGGTTTTAAAATTAACAGTTTTAAGGGAAAACTTAAGACTAGCTTGGACTAAAGCGGAGAAGTTGATTTCTAGATTTTCCAAATACTGTCTGGAATTGAGTAAATGCTCTGGGGATTTCGTGGCGTTGCGCGAGATGTTCAAACACGTTTCCACGATTTCGGAATCGAACACGTACGACTCGTTAAAGCCGAAAATGATCCCCTTTTTGTACTGGGACAAACACATCACCATGTCAGTCATCGTATTGTCTTCATTTGCGTATGAATACGAACCCACAGCTTGGCTTAAATTGGCGTAATTGTTATATGCGTAGTTGATGGTCTCGTAGAATTCTTCCACTTTGTAGACGGCCAGAGGCCCCACTCCGGGAGGATACGCGCTCACCTCCCTGCTGGCGTCCCATCCTCGGAGAAACAAATGCGAGAACGAGATCCGGTTGTCCCAGGTGTAGTTCACGTGGTTGTATCGGTTGTAGGCAAACAAACAAAGCTGGATTGTCACTAGTATGATCTTGATCAACTGCACTGTGAACTTGTACGGGAAGCGTTTCTTGGCTTGCCACTTCTCGATGGGGTTCATGAAGAAGAATTGTAGTTTGCGGCGCATTTTCTCCTCGGTGAGGAGGCCTCTGGAGCCTTGACAGGAGGGCTGGTGGGCGATGGCGCAGCGCTCGTCGTCGCTGGCACACACGGAGATGTGGCATTCTGGGGAATGGCCCTCCATGTTCTCCATTTTTGATTATTTTCGCGGCATGCGACTGATAAAACGAAAGTGGACTGAGATTTAACCTAATTGTTAACACTTGACATTGACATTTGAAAAGCCTTTTGTCTGCGACGTACGCATGCGCGCTGGGGTCGTGGACTTTCTTTTATCGTTATCATTCTTTTATGTTTCCGATTATGTTACGGAAAAAATTGGAGCAATCGGGAGATAAGGGGATTTATCGGGGGCAAAAAACTCTGCGACTGACATATCGTCTGGAATAATTAAATCATTGATTAGAGAAATTGCTGCGGCAAATGTCAAGCAGTGACGTACGCAAGGATTTAATCGTGGGTGCCAATGATTCGACAAAAATGACAACGTTGACGACTCTCAGAGTGTTGATAATTTTGACGTTACCGAGAACAATGTGGGCGATTACAGTTCTTAACAAGAAGAACATAAAGGTGAAAACTGTTTTAGGCCCAATAAAAAAAGTAAATAACTGTTCAGATGTATTGAAATAAAAAAGACTTTTAAATGCTTGATTAATTAAAACTGTTAAATGTTTATAACAACAAAAAACACCAAAAACAATTTGCTAAAAAATTAATTTGTAAAAATTGTAGAATTGGAACTAGAAACAGTTATAGAGTTATACACCACTTAACACACAATGTAAATTTTATGTTACATATTTCTCCATACAGAATTTTAATTATGATATAATTTGATATCCATCCATGTGCATTTATTGTCACAGAAAAAAAATTAGTCGAAAGTTATTTCGACAGAACTTCCCTCGCTCCTGAAGCCCAACAAATACCGCTTTTCTGAAAAATTATAAAATTTGGTTTTGCGGACTTTTACTTTTTCATGATAACCTCTATGGGAGCTCCGAGAAGCTGTAATATTCTTAGAAAAAAGACACTTGGGGCCCCAAGAAGGTTTCGCTTGCGTTAAAAAAGGACAGGTTTCACATTTTTAAAACAAGACATGTGGCGCCTCCAAGAAGGTTTTACATTGTTAAAAAAACAGTTGGTACCCCCGAGAAGGTTTCACATTCTTAAAAAATGCATTTGGGGTCCCCGAGAAGGTTTCACATTTTTAAAAAAGACAGTTGGAACCCCTGAGAAGGTTTCACATTAAAAAAAAGATATTTCGGGTTGGGGCCCCCGAGAAGGTTTCACATTTTTAACAAGACAATTGTGGCCCTCGAGAAGGTTTCACATTAAAAAAAAGATATTTGAAATTGGGGTCCCCAGAAGGTCTTACATTTTTAAAAAAGACAGTTGGAATCCCTGAGAAGGTTTCACATTTTTAAAAAAGACAATTGGAAGCCCTGAGAATGTTTCACATTAAAACAAAAATATTTGGGGCCTCCGAGAAGCTTTTACATTTTTAAAAATAAAATTGGGGCCCCCGAGAAGGTTTCACATTAAAAGAAAAGATATTTTGAATTGGGGCCCCTGAGAAGGTTTTACATTTTTTAAAAAGACAGTTGGAATCCCTGAGAAGGTTTCACATTAAAACAAAGATATTTTGGGGCCCCCGAGAAGGTTTTACATTTTTAAAAAAGACAATTGGAACCCCTGAGAAGATTTCACAAAAAAAAAAGATATTTGGAGTTGGGGCCCCCGAGAAGGTTTTACATTTTTAAAAAGACAATTGGAACCCCCGAGAAGGTTTCACATTAAAAAAAAGATGTTTGGAATTGGGGTCCCCGAGAAGGTTTTACATTAAAAAAAAGATATTTGGGGTCCCCGAGAAGGTTTTACATTTTTAAAAAAGACAGTTGGGACCCCCGAGAAGGTTTCACATAAAAAAAGACGATTGGGGTTCCCGAGAAAGTTTTACATTTTTAAAAAACCAGTTGAGACCCCCGAGAAAGTTTTACATAAAAAAAACATTTGGGGCCCTCGAGAAAGTTTCACCTTCTAAAAAAAAACATTTGTGCGCCCCTCGGGACGATTTACATTTTTAAAAAAGACAGTTGGGACCCCTGAGAAGGTTTCACATTAAAAAAAAGACAGTTGGGACTTCTGAGAAGGTTTCTCATAAAAAAAAGATAATTGGGGCCCCCGAGGTTTTACATTTTAAAAAAAGACAGTTGGAGCCCCTGAGACGGTTTTACATTTTTAAGGACAGTTGGGACTCCCGAGAAGATTTCACATAAAAAAAAGATATTTGGAATTGGGGTCTCCGAGAAGGTTTTACATTAAAAAAAAAGATATTTGGAGTACCTTAGAAGGATTGACATTTTTAAAAACGACAGCTGAGACTTACGAGAAGGTTTCCCATTAAAAAAAAGATATTTGGGGTCCCCGAGAAGGTTTTACATAAAAAAAAAGATATTTGGGGTTCCCGAGAAGGTTTTACGTTTTAAAAATCGACAGTTGGGACTTACGAGAAGGTTTCCCATTAAAAAAAAAAGATATTTCGGGTCCCCGAGAAGGTTTTATATTTTTAAAAAGACAGTTGGGGCCCCCGAGAAGGTTTCACATAAGAAAAAGACGATTGGGGTTCCTGAGAAGGTTTTACATTTAAAAAAAACCAGTTGGGACTCCCGAGAAAATTTTACATTAAAAAAACATGTGGGACCCTCGAGAAGGTTTCACATTCTAAAAAAAAATATTTGGCGCCCATCAGGAGGTTTTACATTTTTATAAAAGACAGTTGAGACCTCAGAGAAGGTTTCACATTAAGAAAATAGATATTTGGGGTCCCTGAGAAGGTTTTACATTTTTAAAAACGACAGCTGGAACTTACGAGAAGGTTTTCCATTAAAAAAAAGATATTTGGGGTCCCCGAGAAGGTTTTAGATTTTTAAAAACGACAGTTGGGACTTACGAGAAGGTTTCCCATTAAAAGATATTTGGGGTCCCCGAGAAGGTTTTATATTTTTAAAAAAGATAGTTGGGACCCCCGAGAAGGTTTCACATAAAGAAAAGATATTTGGGGTTGGGGTCCCCGAGAAGGTTTTACATAAAAAAAAAGATATTTGGGGTCCCCGAGAAGGTTTTACATTTTTAAAAACGACAGTTGGGACTTATGAGAAGGTTTTCCATAAAAAAAAGATATTTGGGGTCCCCGAGAAGGTTTTATATTTTTAAAAAACACAGTTGGGACCCCCGAGAAGGTTTCACATAAAAAAAAAAACATTTGGGTCCCTCGAGAAAGTTTCACCTTCTAAAAAAAAACATTTGTGCGCCCCTCAGGACGTTTTACATTTTTAAAAAAGACAGTTGGGACCCCTGAGAAGGTTTCACATTAAAAAAAAGACAGTTGGGACTTCTGAGAAGGTTTCACATAAAAAAAAGATAATTGGGGCCCGCGAGGTTTTACATTTTAAAAAAAGACAGTTGGAGCCCCTGAGACGGTTTTACATTTTTTAAGGACAGTTGGGACTCCCGAGAAGATTTCACATAAAAAAAAGATATTTGGAGTTGGGGCCCCCGAGAAGGTTTAACATTAAAAAAAAAAGATATTTGGGGTCCCTGAGAAGGTTTTACATTTTTAAAAACGACAGCTGAGACTTACGAGAAGGTTTCCCCTTGAAAAAAAAACGATATTTGGGGTCCCCGAGAAGGTTTTATATTAAAAAAAAAACAGTTGGGACCCCCGAGAAGGTTTCACATAAAAAAAGACGATTGGGGTTCCCGAGAAGGTTTTACATTTTTAAAAAACCAGTTGGGACCCCCGAGAAAGTTTTACATAAAAAAAAACATTTGGGGCCCTCGAGAAAGTTTCACCTTCTAAAAAAAAAAAAAAAACATTTGTGCGCCCCTCAGGACGTTGTACATTTTTAAAAAAGATAGTTGGGACCCCTGAGAAGGTTTCACATTAAAAAAAAGACAGTTGGGACTTCTGAGAAGGTTTCACATAAAAAAAAGATAATTGGGGCCCGCGAGGTTTTACATTTTAAAAAAAGACAGTTGGAGCCCCTGAGACGGTTTTACATTTTTTAAGGACAGTTGGGACTCCCGAGAAGATTTCACATAAAAAAAAGATATTTGGAGTTGGGGCCCCCGAGAAGGTTTAACATTAAAAAAAAAAGATATTTGGGGTCCCTGAGAAGGTTTTACATTTTTAAAAACGACAGCTGAGACTTACGAGAAGGTTTCCCCTTGAAAAAAAAACGATATTTGGGGTCCCCGAGAAGGTTTTATATTAAAAAAAAAACAGTTGGGACCCCCGAGAAGGTTTCACATAAAAAAAGACGATTGGGGTTCCCGAGAAGGTTTTACATTTTTAAAAAACCAGTTGGGACCCCCGAGAAAGTTTTACATAAAAAAAAACATTTGGGGCCCTCGAGAAAGTTTCACCTTCTAAAAAAAAAAAAAAAACATTTGTGCGCCCCTCAGGACGTTGTACATTTTTAAAAAAGATAGTTGGGACCTCTGAGAAGGTTTCACATTAAAAAAAAAAAGACAGTTGGGACTTCTGAGAAGGTTTCACATAAAAAAAAGATAATTAGGGCCCCCGAGGTTTTACATTTTAAAAAAAGACAGTTGGAGCCCCTGAGACGGTTTTACATTTTTAAGAACAGTTGAGACTCTCGAGAAGATTTCACATAAAAAAAAGAAATTTGGCGCCCCTCAGGAGGTTTTACATTTTTAAAAAAGACAGTTGGGACCCCTGAGGAGGTTTCACATAAAAAAAAGACAGTTGGGACTTCTGGGAAGGTTTCACATTAAAAAAAAGATATTTGAGGTCGCTGAGAAGGTTTTATATTAAAAAAAAAGACAGTTGGGACACCCTAGAAGGTTTCGCATGAAAAAAAGATAATTCGGGCCCCCGAGGTTTCACATTTTAAAAAAAGACAGTTGGAGCCCCCGAGACGGTTTTACATTTTTAAAGACAGTTGGGACTCCCGAGAAGGTTTCACATAAAAAAAAGATATTTGGGTTTCCCGAGAAGGTTTTACATTTTTTAAAAAGACAGTTGGGACCCCCGAGAACGTTTCACATTAAAAAAAAGATATTTGGGGTTTCCGAGAAGGTTTTATATTAAAAAAAGACAGTTGGAATTTCTGAGAAGGTTTGACATAAAAAAAGATATTTGAGGTCCTTGGCAAGGTTTTACATTTTTAAAAAAGACAATTGGGACCTCTGAGAAAGTTTCACGCGTGTTCGTACATTTCATTTATAGGACTACATTTTTGTATAACAGTTAAATCAAATAAATATAGAACTCTTTGAAATGACGTCATCAAATTGTTGGTGGGGTTGATTAGCAAAATTTTGGTTCGCATTTAACCGTCTACATGATATTAATAATATACATACAAAATTTAACAACAGTCGGTGCAGCAGTTTCGGAGATCACGTGTGTAATATAAATGGACACAGAAATCAGACAGATAGACAGACAGACGGAAACGGGAAACTTCTTTTTCGTACTCAAGGGGTCATGAAACGTCGAGAAAATATAAAAGTGGCCATTGTTCCGATAGACTCGGATTACCTTAGCTTACTTTCCTGGCCCCTGAAATACAATTAAATACAATGATTTTGATTGCTAAACCACCGGTAAAAAGCATTCTGTGAGTATTTTTCAAGTTTTTAGCATAGTTTTTATAATAAAGTCTTGTGATGACGTCATCAACTTTTTACCAGGGATAAGAAAAACCACAAAAAAACAAAAAAGCGACAAGAAACGTAAAAAAGGGATAGACAGCAAACAAGCAAACGCCAACAAAGTTACAAAAAAGAACAAGAAGAATGCAACAAAACATCAACTATAAGTTACTAAGAAATCTCTGGTACCGAATGATTATTATTAATGTTTGTGATTTTTTTGTTGTCAGGTTGGCTACATATTAAAAATACGTTGACGGCATACCTGATGAAGTTGAAATTTTCGGCGCCAATTCAGAAGCTGCTGTCTTCCCACTGCTGCCAATAATTCAGAATTGCTAACTCAAAAATTTGCTTCAATCATTAACCCAAAGTGTTTGACACCAACTGTCAAAATCGTATAGTCATTTTTAGTGATTTATTTAATAACTACAATATAAGACACCACGGCAAATGTGACAAAAAAGCACCGTAAACAGAGGCGGCAAAAACGCGATAAAAATCAGCCACGTTTGGATTAAGATTGCTATTTGATGGGTTAATATGACAATTTGAATTTGATTTGATGATTTTAAAATTGTTGGTCAGAATTCCTCAGGCGCCGCCGCTGTCTTCCCAAACGTCATATGTCAAACACGTCAATCCCCAATGACGTCACGAACCTAACCTTCTGTTATGTTATTTTGCATAAAAACGTAAGAAATTATTTTTTTGTTATGTGAAAATGCCAAGTAATATAGAAGTTAAGCATCTGTTTAAATACAAAAGGTAACCCACGCTTTTAATACGACCAGTAACTCGAAAATAATGCATTTTCAGGCTTCCTGACAATGAGTTGAAATTTTTGTGTTTGGTGCTTTACTTACCTGTTGGATTAGTCCTTTTTATTTTAAGAACAATCTTAGCATTGAGTGTCATTTTAATAGGATGCAGTTTGTCAGACACTCGGATCATTCAAAATGTTGTCAATAAAGTCGCTTGTTTAACTTTAGGTATAACTGTAACGGTAGAGAATCCTGAAAAAAAAGAGAATGTAGAAGTATACGTTAGCAATAACTTGTCGATTTTCGATCACTTAGCTGTCCACACGGCGACGGGATCAGTTTCGGTAAGTCACTTTTCAAACTTTGATACTCTCCAGTTAACACGACGTATTGCAGCCAGGCGCTCAAATGCACCCAGCCTTGTCGAAAGGCTTAGGACTTCACTACTTTGGTAGCCAAAGTAATGCGGATGCGTTCAAGAAAAACGTGACGGATTTTTTGGCAGACCAGCAAACGCCTGTACATTTCATGCCTGAGGACAAAATCACCAATGGCAAAGCACTGCTGAAATTTAAAACTTACCCTTTTTCTGTGACTAACAGAGTACAACCTATTTGTATTAGCATCGAGAGACCTTTTCTTGACTTGTCGGTTACCACCTTAGGGTCTGGGTATTGGATCGATGTTATGTTCTACATGTTTTCACCTTTAACTAACTATAAACTAAAATTTTTACCTTCACTGGAGCGGAAAAGCTTGGCAGAGGCGGAATTTTCAGAAATCGTGCGCCAAAATATCGCCACGACTATGAAGGTGGGTTGATTTTTTTTGGTTTTTTTATTTTGTGTTGTGTACTGTAGGTGGAAACTCCCGAGTTGTCGGCTTCTGATCTTTTGGAGTTCGAGAAGCGACACTTGGTGGAGCGCCAGAGGCCGCCACCGATGCCTCGCCCCACCATAGATATTGAAATGCGGAGAATGGCAACTCAGGTGAAGGAAGTACTGCCACACGTGCCATTAAACGCGATCTATAAGGATTTGAGTAAGTTGGAGTGTTGTGAGTTCGAGTTAATAGCAGTTTGATGGCAGGCAAAACGAGAAATGTAGACTCCACCATTACCAATATCTTAGAAGGGCGTGTACTTTTCGTGCCAGAACAAATTAGTTCTACTTCTGCTAATCCACAGCCTTCCACTTCAGTGGCGACAGCCACCAATGTTACACCTTCTACTTCTACAAGTGATAGGGAATTGTTCAATACAGCCGCTTCTACTTTTGCCAAGTCTGCACAAGAGAGGAATAAATCGTTCCAAGAGAGGAAAGAACAACTCATCGCCAACGCTCGAAGGCGTTATATCGAGAAACATAATTTGAATATACCGTTTTAGTGCTGGTTTTTGATAAATTGTTTTTACGTAGTCGCTAAGTTCTTCTATGGCACTCAGTTTTATGCACTTGAGAATTTTCAGATACTTTTTTACTTTAGGTTCAGTTTTGTTGCGGTTTCTTTCTACTTAAATTGTACATAACGCCGAGTTGTTATTTATTTTTGGTTGCAATAAATATTTTTGAATGAGTCGAAAAGGGCGTTTAATTTTTTTGCTAAATCAAAAAATTGCAAGTTTCGAAAAATTAACTAAAAATAAACAAAATTGTGGGCTACTGAAAGCCAATTTTCTCTGCGTAATTTCACAATTTTTTTAACTTCCAGAAATTGAGAAACCTCGATTAAGTAGGAAATAAGACATTAAATTGTTATTAGATTGTAATTACTTAATAATAAATAATTGAAATGGTTGCTATTCAAATATTTTTCGTAATAAGCGGTTTTTGTATTAAATTAAATAGCCAGGGGAAGTACTGTAGAAAAAATAAAATCACTGTTACGAATGCCATCTAGTGTTTTTTTATCGTTCGACTTGAACAATACGAACAGAGTGTGCGCAAGATTTAAAACTTTTATTAACTGTCAAAAATATATGGTATTGTGAAAACAATGTGGCGAACTGTGTTCTTCAGGATGTACAAAGATGACGTAAAAAATTGAAATATCGATTAGTTGAAGACAGTGCTGCTAGGCAAGCACATGAAGATTTTTATGTTGGTAATATTGAATTATTGGTAGCAATGCTAGTAGTCAAAGTCAATAGCGGTCTTGCGGTAGTGTACAGTGCTGTCAATGAAGGAAAATCCCCTGAAGTAAGAGGGACATTTTTCTGGTTGACAGCACTAATTCCACGAAAATAAAATTTTGATAGTGATAATGAAGTCCACTAATATTAAACTATTTATTCACCTGTTCACCGAAACTCTCATATTCAACATTCTGTCAGTAGGTACTTATGCATTGTTAAAGATAGTTCTCAACGTTTAAATCAACAAGATTTATTGCTATTCATTTCAAAAAAAGATTAGGTATTTTAACTACAAGGGCTTAAATTTTGCCCTTTTTTTTTAATATGTGTCGTGTAGTCTTTTCTTCACAACAAGAAAGCTAAAACATGTTTAAAGTGGTAAATTTTGTGGGAAAGTATCGATTTTGCAATTAGGCTCCGCCCCTCCGTCTGACAACGAATGAAAAATTCATCACAATTGAGCTTGAGATGGATATGGGTGGAGCTTAATTTCTGTCATTTTTTTCTAAATATACGTAGTATTCTTTGAACAACACGATACTCGAAAACATGTTTTTTATTTCTTGTAGAGAAATAAGGATTTTGCAAGGCTTCTGTTTTGGTTTTCTTTTTTAATTAATACATTTAGTTTTTTTTGCATAACACGATTACTTAAAAACAAATTTCATATGATAATTTCTCGTAGAAAAATAAGAATTTTAGAAATAAGCTCCTCCCCTCCGCCCACGACGAATAAAAAAATCATCAGAATTGAGATAGGGTGGGTGGGCGGGGCTTATATTTTGCCTTTTTTCTCTTAATGTACATAGCCATCTTTTCACAACAAGAAACTTAAAACATGGCTAAAGTGGTACATATTTACAAGGAAATATGGTTTTTGTAATTATGGGGCGGAGCCTAATTGCAAAATCGATATTGTCTCATACAAATTTATCATTTTTAACATGTTTTAAGTTTCTTGTTGTGAAAAGAAGTCTACACATATTAAAACAAAAAGGCAAAATGGAAGCCCGCCCACCCGCCCTTTCTCGATTGTGATGATTTTTTTTATTCGGCGAGAACCAAGGGGGCGGAGTTTAACTGCAAATACTTATTTCTTTACAAGAAATTAAAAACATGTTTTTGAGTATCCTGTTGTTCAAAGAATACTATGTATATTAAGAAAAAGAGGCAAAATATAAACCCCGCCCACCCACCCCATCTCAATTGTGATGAATATTTTTATTCTTATTAGAAACTTAAAACATGTTTAAAATGGTTAATTTTAGTTAAGGATTTTACAATTAACGTCCATCCGTCGGTTCACGACGAATAAAAAAAATCATCAGAATTGAGATAGGGCGGATGGGCGGGGATTATATTTTTCCTTTTTTTTCTTAATATACTAATATACTAATTCTTAATAGCTATCTTTTCACAACTTAAAAGATGGTTAAAATGGTACACTTTTGCCAGGAAATATGGATTTTGAAATTATGGGGCAAAATCGATATTTCCTTTTACAAATTTTCAATTTTAAACATGTTTTAAGTTTCATTGTGAAAAGAAGTCTACACATATTAAAACAAAAAGGCAAAATGGAAGCCCGCCCACCCGCCCTTTCTCGATTGCTATGATTTTTTTTATTCGGCGAGAACCAAGACGGCGAAGTTTAACTGCAAATACTTATTTCTTGACAAGAAATTAAAAATATGTTTTTGAGTATCCTGTTGTTCAAAGAATACTAGGTATATTAAGAAAAAAAGGCAAAATATAAACCTCGCCCACCTACCCTATGTCAATTGTGATGATTTTTTTATTGTTAGAATTTTAAAACACGTTTAAAATGGCAAATTTTGTAAGGAAATATGGATTTTGCAATTAAATTTCGCCCGTTTGGCCCTCGACGATTAAAAAAAATCATCAGAATTTAGGAAGGGCGGGTGGGTGGGGCTTATATTTTGCTTTTTTTAACATACGCAGTCGTTTTTTCAGAACGAGAACCTTAAAACTTGTTTCAAATGGTAAATTCTTGTAGACAAATACAGATCTTGCAATTAAGCCCCTCCCTTCGATCTGACAACGAATGAAAAATTCATGACGATTGAAATCGAGACGGATGGGTGGAGCTTCTCTTTTAGTTTTCTTTTTTAATTAATACATTCAGTTTTCTTTGTATAACTTAAGAACATATTTCATATAATAATTTCTCGTAAAGAAATAAGGATTTTACAATTAACTTCCATCCCTCGGTTCACGACGAATAAGAAAAATCATCAGAATTGAGATAGGGTGGGTGGGCGGGGCTTGTATTTTGCCTTTTTTTTTTCTTAATATACATAGCCATCTTTTCACAACAAGAAACTTAGAACATGGTTAAAATGGTACATTTTTGAGAGGAAATATGGATTTTGCAATAATGGGGCGGAGCCTAATTGCGAAATGGATATTTCCTTACACAAATTTTCCATTTTAAACATGTTTTAAGTTTCTTGTTGTGAAAAAAAGTCTACACATATTAAAACAAAAAGGCAAAATGTAAGCCCGCCCATCCACCCTATCTCAATTCTGATGATTTTTTTTTATTCGCCGAGAACCAAGAGGGCGGAGTTCAACTGCAAATACTCTTTCTTTACAAGAAATTAAAAACATGTGTTTGAGTATCGTGTTGTTCATTAGAACATACTCTGTATATCAAGAAAAAAGGCAAAATATAAAACCCCGCCCACCCACCCAATATTAATTATGATGATTTTCTTTATTCTTAGTAACCTAAAACACGTTTAAAATGATACATTTTTTGGAGGAAATATGTGTTTTGCAATTAGGCTCCGCCCTCTTAGCTTAGGACGAATAAAAAAATCATCACAATTGAGATCGAGACGGATGGGTGGGGCTTCTCTTTTACTTCTGTTTTTTAATTAATACATTTAGTTTTCTTTGTATAACACGATTACTTAAAAACATATTTCACATGGTAATTTCTCGTAGAAAAATAAGGATTTTACAATTAAGCTTCGCCCCTCGGCTCACGACGAGTAAAAAAAATCATCAGAATTGAGATAGGGCGGGTGGGCGGGGCTTATATTTTGCCTTTTTTTCTTAATATACATAGCCATCTTTTCACAACAAGAAACTTAGAACATGGTTAAAATGGTACATTTTTTCAAGGAAATATGGATTTTGTAATTATGAGGCGGAGTTTAATTGCGAAATCGATATTTCTTTTCATAACAAGAAACTTAAAATGTGGTTAAATTGGTACACTGTTGTCAGGAAATATGGACTTTTAAATTATGGAGCGGAGCCTAATTGCAAAATCGATATTTCCCTATACAAATTTTAAATATGTTTTAAGTTTCTTATTGTGAAAAGAAGTCTACACATATTAAAACAAAAAGGCAAAATGGTAGCCCGCCCACCCGCCCTTTCTCGATTTTGATGATTTTTTTATTCGGCGAGAACCAAGAGGGCGGAATTTAACTGCAAATACTTATTTCTTTACAAGAAATTAAAAACATGTTTTTGAGTATCCTGTTGTTCAAAGAATATTATGTATATTAAGAAAAAAAGGCAAAATATAAACTCCGCCCACCCACCCCGTCTCACTTGTGGTGATTATTTGTATTCAAAGAAATTTAAAACAGGTTTAAAATGGCAAATTTTGTAAGGAAATGTGAATTTTGCAATTAAATTTCGCCCCTTTGGCTCTCGACGATTAAAGGCGGGTGGGCGGGGCTTATATTTCGCTTTTTTTAACATACGTAGTCATTTTTTCAGAACAAGAACCTTAAAACAAACTTCAAATGATAAATTCTTATAGACAAATGTGGATCTTGCAATTAAGCCCCGCCCCTCGATCTGACAGTGAATGAAAAATTCATCACAATTGAGAATTGAGATCGGGGTGGGTATGGATGGGGCCTCATCTTTGGCGATACTCAAAGACATGTTTGTAATTTTGTAGAGAAATAAGGATTTTGCAGTTAAGCCCCGCCCTCGTGGCTCACGACGAATAAAAAAATCATCACAATTGAGATAGGGCGGGTGGGCGGGGCTATATTTTGCCTTTTTTTCTTAATATGTGTAGACTTATTTCGACAATAAGAAAGACTTAATACTTAATTAGTTTAACGTCATTTGTGGCAATGACAGTGACATTTATTTAAAATATAATTAAACTATTCCGTACGTCTTTCACATCTTTAGTTTCCAGAGCCTCCCCTTATGTCAAATTAAAAAAAAATCATACCGTACAATCACTACTATTTCGCAAAAAATTCTGTTTGAAATATCGTGAAATTATAAGGAAACAATTCAAAGTCAAGAATAACAATTATGTATTCAGATGTATGTAATTTTGCGATGTTATAAACGAAAATACTTACTTATGATATAGCTGTAGCATTTATTAAACCGTGTGTTTAAAACTTTGTTATTTACAATGTATTGTCTTACACATACACACTATACATACATATTAACAATTATGACATTTTCAGTATTTCAAGAACTTACTTGCTGGAGTAGTGCGAAGTAAGACCACGACGTTTTTAAAATCTAAAAAAAATATTGCCACAACCAACTTTATAGTGTTTGTGAAATTTTCACCATCATGAAGGATTCCAAGGATAAGTAGAACACATTTGATGCTGACACTTTCACAGGTTTCTGGGACCTCAGAATAAAGAAAAAAATATTCTTTTGAGTCTTAACAGAGAAATTCGTCCATTTACATTCGTAAACTGCGAAGGGTAAGTTGTTACTCTATACAAAGAATTGTAAATATAAGTATTGAGATTTTTTTTAAATGTTAAACGTAACTGATTACCTTAATTTGCACTTCGTTGCCAAACCAGCAGTACATGAATATTTGTGTTACCGCTGCCATTCCATACGACACGAAAGAGAAAAATTCAGTCGTGAGGGGTTCAACCTAAAAAAACATAAATATTTAGTTAAATAAACGACTAATTTCCAATAAAACTTACAATAGTTAGTTGAAACAGTGTCATTGCTGTAATCGTGGCGCTAACGCAAAATTGTAAAAGAATAATCCAGTTAAAAAATTTGTTCGAGTTGTAGGCGAAACTGAAACAATTAATTATGACACAGTTTTTTTTAATTGAATTAAATTTACTTTAAAATCATCCAGTGGTGTCTAACACATTTGGCAAAATTCGCTCCCACATTGTTACTCAAATGAAGATTCTTCAAGTTATCACACAAAATGTCAAACTGACTAGCAGTGTACACATTTATGGCAGCTATAAACGTGTCGACGTTAATATGAGTAAAGCACGTGTAAGTGTAGCTTAACACTTGATGACCATACGTTATTTCATACATCGGAAAAATTTTCGTGTTGTATGGATACCAAGCTAAAAATGGCAATCTATTACCTTCGCTAGATTTATCCAACAGTGGAAAAACCGCCCAAAACAAGTTAGCCCCGCAACACATCGTCATAAACGCTTTGTAAATCATCTTCCAGACGTCTAAATTTGGTTGAACCAAAGCAACCTGACCGACGTCTCGTGGTTGAAACAAGTCATCGTCTAACATCCTCATCAGTTTTTTCACAATTGACATATTTCTAGCAAGGTAGTAAATTTTCAAAGCGAAGAGAATCTCTGTTAGGAGAATGTAGATTGTTCCAGTGAGGGCGATTAAGTCGTCGAGGATGAAGAAGAGATTGATCAGTTGTGAGAGTAGTCCTACTAGGAGGAAAACCGTGACGAGAATTATGGTGCGTGATGTGTATAAATCTAGCTTGAAAGTATCGTCATTTCTGGGCCAAAATCCAGACATTTTTAGAAACAGAACGTTGAGTTCTATTGTCGCTTTCCAGCTGAATTTTCTACGACTGTCCATGTTTCTGAGAGTTGGTTACTCTTGTCGAAGTGGTTGCTCGACTAGACGACACGGGTTATCAACTTCGAAAATATTGTTCATCAGCTCATGGTTATTTAATTGGAACTTTCGTGTTTTTACTAATTACAAGTCGGAAAGTACTTATTATCTTATTTTTTTTTAAATGACAAGTGCTTCGTAATAATTAGTAGATTTAGTGAAATTGTCTTTCGTTTAAACCCTTAATTATAACATTTATTAATTAGTTCAAAGCAACGTTTTCCTATCGTCTGTAATTATTTTCATGGGTAAACAGTCCGAAGGAGAATATTTAACTCATGAATAAGTGATTAGACTAAAAATTGTTCTAAAAATCGTAAAGTAAGTAAAGTACCTTCTGTCACAGTTTGAAGAAATTCGAACCACGAAATTTAAAAACTACTTTAGGATCTGCTTTGGTTGGGATTTATAATTTCTGAAATATTTCTAAGAACCAATCAAGAAGTGCAACTTGCTTGCAACTGCGCAAGAAAAGCAAGTTTTTAGCTACTCAATTATAAAACAATAGGGAGTAATTATATTCTATTAAACATTTTTATTACAATTGAAGGATACTTACATTCTGTGGTCAAGCTCTTCTAATTACTTTTTCAGGTTCATCTAATAAATAGCCACGTGTATCTTCGTCCGATTCCCACGTGAAAATAATAATTATTACTTAGAAATTCCGATGAATGGGCGTTTTTACGTTTCATACTTGCAGGAAGAGTCCGTAACAGTCTCGATTCCACTCGTAGAATTGCAACTCTGAAGTGCATTAATACTTAAAACCTTAATTGCACGTTTTCGATCAGAGTCGATGTAAACTTAGCTGCAGTAGGTGAAAAGTTCAGTGAAAATATTGTTGTGTGTGTTTTTGTGGGCGTGCTGGTTTTAGTTAAAAAACAAGAAGTGTGGCTTTCGCTTTCAGGTAAGATGAAGTTTAGAACTGTTTTCGTTTTTGTTTAGGGTATTTTGTTAATTTAAATAAAGCGCGATTTTTGTTGAATGATATACAGGATGTTCATTTTATCTGTTCACGCCTGAATATTTCTCCATAGGCAACCCATTTTACGTTTCATAAACAGCTTTGATTAATTATTATTTTTAAATAATAATGAACGCATAGATATTATCCATTCACGATCTTTATATAGTAAAGTGGCAAGCAAACAAATGTTTTAATTTTGTCAGCATATATAATTTGTCATTGTGCCAGATTCAAGGATCATGGCGACATTATTTAAAAAGAAAATGCCTAAAATAGTTTTACTGCAACAAAAAGATGTTTTTTGCAGTTTCGAAAATACAGGCCCGATCTTTCTTTCGAAGAAGTAACTATGAGGGTCTCGAACATATTTTCTATAATGTAAAAATACGTTGTAATATATATATATATATATATATTTTTTCTTATGGGTGGGAACATCAAGTGTGGCGAAAATTTTATCAACAGGGGACCAAAATTTAAAAACATTACTATCTGGCAAGCGAAAACCAACGGATTTATTTACAAATTATATGTTTCGGAAAGACCTACAATGACAAATTTGGCAACTTAATGAAAACAACGAATATTTCACTGTAGATACTCTTTTGGCATATTCTAGGGAACAGTTGCAATTTAAAGGGGGGCGAACCACATTATACAAAATTGTTACGTCAATGGGTTATAAACACAGGGAAGTAAATGGTGGCAAAATTCTATGTGAACAAAAACATGTCGTTGCAGCCAAAATTACTTTTTTGAGAACATATTTACAGTTTCTAAATTCTTAAGAAAATTTGACTTTCGTGTATTTGGATGAAACATGGATCTATCAAAATGGTTCGTCCATTCGTCGCTGGGTGCACGATACTGATCTAAAAAGCAATCCCACCAAAATTAAAAGTGAAGGATCAAGGTTTACTCTTCCCCACGCGGGTTCTTCAACGGGGTTTTTGGATGGTTGTAACAATTTTTTAAATTCAAAAAATAACGATAGAGACTATCATAAAACGATGGACGGGACAATTTTTCAAAATTGGGTGGTTAATCAGCTCATTCCTGTTTTGGCAAAATTGAACCTAAAATGTGTGGTGGTTTTAGACAATACACCGTATCATTCGGTTCAGTTGGATAAACCACCCACTTTTTCTAGTAAAAAATGTGATATTCAGGAATGGCTCTTTAAACATAGTGTTGAATTTGACAAAAAAATTTCGAAGAAACAGTTGTGGGATTTAATTAAACCCTTCAGAAACAATAGAAAAAAAAGATATTTGGTAGACGAGACATTAAGAAAAAGTGGCCATGAAGTTCTTAGATTACCTCCGTACCATTGTCAATATAATCCAATTGAAATGGCGTGGGGATTTTGTAAGAACTATTACAACAAGCATATAAATTCTCAAACTTCATTAAAAAATAGGGTGGAGAATTTATGTCTTGAGGCATTTTCTAAATGTACTCCAAGCATGTGGCAAAATTTTTGTAAACATTGTGAAAAACTTATTTTGGCAGATTGGGAAAAAATATGGGAAATCTTTCGTACGAATCTATACCTCCTTTCATTATTTGGCTAGGTGAATCTGATTCAGAATCTGAATTTGAAAATTATGGTGATGATACAGATTTTCATAGCGAAATAATGGAAATGGAGTGAATTGTAGCTTGTCGGGGGGTGATATTTTTACGCATCTTTCGTTCTAAATTTACCAAGGTCGTATGTGAAAAACTACGTGACGTACAACAAAATAAGTATAATTTTAGTTAGATCATCCACGTTGTTACTTTGCACCAAATTTTAAACATTTTCATTTTTTTTTGTAACTCTTCATGGACCTGGAGAAGGCGTATAGTAACGTTCTTATTAATAAACGTTTGGAAGGACTTAGTAAAAGCAAATAAAGAGCACTTACGTAAGCATTAGTAATAGCTATATGTATAGATAAATCATTCAATTTAAGGCTGGAAAAATGTTTCAGAAGAGCTAAACCCATCAAAGCACTAGAGCAAGGTTGTTGTCTTTTACCAACCCTTTTAGTAATCTTAGAAAAGTGAAAAAAGAAGTTGAAAGATATGGAAATAGGCACTTCACAAAGGTCGAAATTTCCATTTCTAAGAAAAGTGGGCGAGCAGAACGAACTGATGATTGAGAATTAAAGATGAGATGCTAAATGTGGCATGCGACAATAGTCGTATGTAGAACCTTCAATTATATAAAAACAATGTTTAAGTGAAATTTTAGTGTTTGTTCCTTACATATGAAATAAACACTTACAAAAAGCCGAATAACTCTTTTAAATAGCGTAAAGTTTTATGCTTTCTAAGAAATGGATACCGTTAACTTGGTCATTGCTACTGAAAACTGAAAGTATCGGCAACAATGGATATATTTCTGGCATATTTTTTGACTTTTAATTTAATAAAACATTTCAGGGAATTTTTATTCTTCTGCATCGAATACCAACAAACTCACTAGATTTTCATGGCCAACCCTACTATATAAAGATCGTGAACGGATAATACGTGAAAGGATAATAGCATTGTTTAAGTATATTATAGTTGGACAACCTAATACAAACTGACAGAAACTTTCCAAGGGTTTTTAAGCTGGTATAATTGTTTAGTTTTACAAGATTTAGTAAAATTTAGATTCGTGGTGTTACAAAAATATTAACACAAAATGAAAATATATATTCAAAGTAAATAACAGAATGACATAAACTTTCGGCGTTGACATTACAAATAATTACAAGACAGAAGAAAACGCATTAAGAACTTAAGAGGCATGTTTCTAATATCGGGTTGTTAAAGGCTGCTTTGAAGACTGTTTGTTTCTATGAAAAACAATTGCTGTTATCCGACGTTTTGGTAGATTTTGTTCCAAAAATACGAGATAACTAATTGTTTCTTGAACTAGTTTCCGTAACTTCTAAAATTTAAAAAGGATACTTAAAATTTCCTTTCTGCACAGGTCAACCAATTTTTCGTAAACCGCATTTTAAAATCTTTGTTATTGTATTTTTTACATTTTAATTTTCTAAGCCATGAAAAAATCCCATATAGGTTTCTATGAATTTGTTAACGAAATCAACTAATAACTTGCGTGCCATTTTGTGTTAATTAATATCAATAGTGATGATAATTTTATAATTAACATTTTAATGAAATTGTGTTTTTCACTTCGTGAACGACAACAAACAAATTAAAATTACTGCTAGTCCCGCACCTGAAAATCCATCTCTCCCAAATATTTTACACCGATATAAGTTTATTACTTTCTTGGCACGATTTGTAATTCGAAGTCTCCCTCAACATGCAACTTTTCGTCGCCTGAGAACTTGTTTGATCTACAGACCAAAGCACACTCAGGCCAATATCGGCTTTAAGCGATTTATCTATAAGCCGACATTCGTTAGAGTTGACCTGATACACATCCACTACGAAGAACTAACCCGTTTCGACCATTGGACTTTACAATGAATAAGTGAACAAAGTTCTTGAACATCTTAACGATTTAATATATAATGTTCCCGAATGACAAAATTTACATTTCAAATTGTATTATCAAATGGTAAAACACTCACCAAAATTTGTCACCAACAATGAAATGACGCATTCTCCAAATTTTACAATAGTATATCCTCCGTTTACGGTTTATGCATCCGTGTCGAGTTTTCACCTTAGACGTCAAGATTTTTGGAAAAAAAATAACATTTTCCAATTTATAATGTTATTTAAATTTTAAAAAGTAGCATAGTCCTGATGTTGTGATTTATAAATACGCTATTGAGATTTTTCGGCTTTTCGATTTCTCGATTTTTCAACTTTAAATGTCTCAATTTTTCAATATTTCAATTTTGGGCTTTTCCAATTCTTCCATTATTCAAATTTTCCATTTCTCGATTTTTTTATTTTTGGATGTTTCAATGATACGATTTCTCAATTTTTGTTCTCTTCAATTTTACGGTTTTTAAATATTTTGATTTTTCAATTTTTCAAATTTTCACGTTTCTAAATTTTCAGTTTTCCGATTTCTAAAGTATTTTTTCTTATTTATCCATTTCTGGACTTCGATTTTTCACATCTTCAATTCTTCAATTTTTCGATTTTTTAAGCTTACGATTTTTCGATTTTGCTTTTTTAGATTTTCGATTTCTCAATTTTCCAATTTTTTAATTTCTCAATTTTTTGAATATTTCTTTCAGTTATGAGATTTTCAAAATTTATTTTTGATTTTTCCACTTCACATAGTTTCGATTTTTCAGTTCTTCAATTCTTCGATTTTTCGACTTCGCCTTATTGGTTTTTCGATTTCTCAATTTTTGGATATTTCTTTCAGTTTTGCTATTTTTCAATACTTCGATTCTTTGATTTTTCGACTTCTAGATTTTTCGATTTTTTATTTTTGGATTTTCAGTTTTTCGTTTTCTATACTTTCGATTTTTCAATTTTATATAATATATGTAACTTTTCCATATTTTAATTTTTAAATTTCTAGATTTTTGGGTTTCTCGAGTTTCCAATTCTATATTTTATTTTCTCAAATTTCCGAATTTTTAAATTTTTTGAGATCCCAATTTATTGAGATTCGAATGTTTCGATGTTTTGATTGTTGAATCTCTCGCTTTATCAATTTTTCCATATTTAAGTTTTCGATTTTGGCCTATTTCAGTTTCTCAATTTTTCGATTTTTCGACTTCTTTTTTGGTCTTTTGATTTTTCGATTTGTTGGTTTTTCGATTTTTGCTTTTCGGTTTCTCGATTTTTCGATGTTTCGATTTTTGATTTATCCGATTTTTCAATTTTCCAATTTTTTAAATTTTCGACTTCTCAATTCGTTGATTTTTCAGTTTTTCGATTTTTAAATTTTAGATTTACGAATTTTTATTTTTTTGATTTTTTGATGTTTGGATTTCTCCATTTTTAAGTTTTAGGATATTTTAACTTTTCAATGTTTTAAATTTTAGATTTTTCGATTTTTCAGTTCTTCAATATTTTTTTATTTTTCAAATTTTGACGCTTCTGAATTTTTAGTTTTCGGATTTCTCAATTAATCTATTTTTTTATATTCCCATTTCTTCACTTCCCAAAGTTTCGATTTTTCAGTTCTTCAGTTCTTCAATTTTTCGATTATTCAGGTTTTTGATTTTTCAATTTTTCGATTTTTTAAGTTTGCCATTCTTCGACTCTGCTTTTTTGACTTTTCTGTTTCTCAATTTTTTAATTTCCTATTTTGTGCTTTTAAAGTGGAAGTGAAAGGGACGCATATTTGTTAGCCATGCAGTTCGTGGATAATATACCGCGATAATATTAAATTTTTGTTACCTTAACCTTTATTTGTTTTTGTGCAAACATACGTGCTACCACACACATGAAACAGGTATGCACTACATATAAATATATTACATATATGTAAAGTCCTCAACACGTTACGTTTGGTTACTTTGTGACTGCTCCCCGTACAACGTACTGACTAATACGTCCGTTTACTACCTTATCGACATCATGTACTTACAGACTATTTTTACTCCCTTTCGTAAGGTACCGCCACTTCTAGTGAAGCGAGTGAGATGTAAAATATATGTTCATTCTTTTCTACATGGGAAAGTGATTGTCCGTATAGGTTGTCCAACTATAATATACTTAAACAATGATAATAGCGTCATGCAGATCTATAACTCCCGACATGTTAGATAGAGTTCGTAGAAATTTTGAACGTAGGATAGGACTTTGTGGAGATAGTAGAGGCAGGCATTTTGAACATTTATTATAAATTCGTTTTCGTTATAATCTGATTCATTAATAAATTGAGTATAAATTTTTTGTCATTATGTGGATTTGACATATTTGCCATTTTTTTCTGTGAGTGCTATGATTGCTTATTAAGAAATATTGGGCGTGTTTTAAAATCTATCTAAACTTATTTCCTAGAACTCATTTGTTGGAGTAACGTAAAATAGGACCAAGAAGTTCGAAGAATCTGGAAAAATACAAAATTAGTCGTTTCAGGAGTAGGCAACCAGTAATACTCCAATAAATTTTACGACAATTTTGTAAAAGTTATACCAACAATTTTTAATTACCTTCATAAAAACTTGTAGCGACAAGTCGAACAAATTCAAGGGAGATATTTTTAGCGGCCTTTGACATCTTATTATAAAAATTATCATACTTTTCTTTGCTTCCAGAGGCGCATTTATCCATTCAGACTCAAACAAAGCATATGGAATTTTCATGCTCTAAAATACATGAATGTCAATGTAAATCCGTGCTAGTAAAGTGTGATAAATATTAAACTTTTTCCATGACTTCATTAGCAAACCAACAGTACATGAAAATTTCGACAACGATGGCCAACTCAAATGACACAAGCGACATAAACTCTCCACTCATCGGAACAACCTATACCTTAAAATAGTTCCATTACTTAGAACAAATAGTATCACTTACCACAGTCATTTGAAACATCGTTATTCCAATAGAAGTCGCACTTATAAAAAATTGAAAAAACACAATCCAGTTAAAAAATTTAGTAGCGTTATCTGCAAACCTACAACAACTAAAATACACAAAAACCAAAATTTCTGTACCCACTCTAGCATTTGTTTGTGGTGTTCGATGCACTTGAAAAATTCCGCTTCGAAATTTTTACTTCGCAGATGCTTCAAATTGTCGCACAGAAGATCCAACTGTGCCCCTATATACATAGTAAGTGCGGCAATTAAAGTATCCACACCCAGTGTCGAAATGGCCACAAAAATAACCCCAATCGCTTGATACAAATACGTAATTTCATAATTCGGTGAAACTTTGGTATCAAATGGGTACCAAGCGGAAAATGGCAGCTGCCAATTTTTGACCGACTTATCCAAAACGGGCACTGCTATCCAGAAAAAGACAGCCCCTAAACTCATACCCCAATACACGACGTAATTAAGCCTCCATAATTTGAGATTCGGTTCAATGAGTTCTTGCTGTTGTTGGTTTTTCGGTTGAAATATGTCACTGTTCAGAGTTAGCATGAGTTGTTTTAGAATTGCCATGTTTCGAAAAAGGTAGTAGGCTTTCAGCATCCCTAGTAGTTCTGATAAGTTGAGAAAGATTATTGACGTTACTGCTTTAAGGTCGTCTAGAAGAAAAATTATGTTGATTGCTTGAAAGATGTTATGGGCTGAGATGATGCAGATGAACGATATGGCGGCCCAGAGGGTGTACAAGTTTAGTTTGTAGGTTTTATGGGGCCAAAGCCCGACAGCTTTTAGTTTTAAGATGTTGATTTTTATTGGAGTTTTCCAGTCGAACTTCTCCATTTATTTTAATTTAAATTGTATGGTGAGAGTGTGTTTATTACGCGGACTAATATTTGTTCTGAGTTCGTGTACTAGAATTGCGGCTTTTATACTCGACAGTGATTTATAATTTAAGAAATATAAAATTACTTAAGTGTAGTGTGGATGAACTTGATTGTCACGTATTTGCACGCTGATCGTGTTGGTGGATAGATTTTATCAATATTGCAAAGTGTAATTAATGTTTAGTAGGTTTATGTACATTATTTTAGTAAATTACTTATATCTAAACAACTTAAATGGTGTCGTGTTTTCTTTATAAATAGGTTTCATTAAAGCGAGAATTACTGTAATGACAGATTTGGTGGAGGCGCCGGGTTGGGAGACTTGAATCATCGATTTTTGCAGTCAGTTATAAGTATGACGTTAATAAGAATGTTAATAATGAAGTAGCAATAAATTTTACAAAAAAGGTTTATTCAATCAATGAATCAATCAATTAATTAAGTTTTACTTGTACCCATTGGGCTTTAAATGGGAATACTGCACTTATTTTCTTTTTAAGGCGTAAGATTCTTCAGTGCATCAGTATTTTTTCGTTTATCCTTTCTAACACTTTGAACTACCATGCTTTTTCACTGTTGAATAATCTATTATTGATTGTTCTCTCGGTGTTCAACTCAGAAAGTACATTTCTTAAAATAAAAGTGAATTAATGGAGTTTAAACAAGTAACGTCTACATCTGTACAAACCATTATTTTCTAACAAAAATTTATCATGGGTAGATTTTAAATGGGAAGTTGTGTTTTTTTAACAACCTGACTTAATCAGGAATCGAATAAACTGACGAATTTTGACAACTCGAAAATAAAACAAGACGAAACCTCGGTATGAAATATACAAAAATTATCTTCTATTTATGTTAAGTATATTTATTTCAATTTTGGGACTTTTAAATACTTCGATTTTTGAAATTTTCAATTTTTTGAATTTTTAAATTTTAGATTTTTTCACTTTTTTTGTTGTTTAGATTTCTCAATCTTTCGATTTTTTGCCTTCGCGTTTTAAGATTTTTTGATTTTTCAATTTTCGATTTAACGGTGTTCTTTCGATTTGCCTCTCGTTTTTATATCATCACATTTTATACTAATATACGAGCACTGGGTTGTGGAGGACGCCGGGGCTCGAAATTTTAGAATACAGTAATGTTGCGCCCGCCTATATTAATAATGATAAAATAAAAATTGTCTAGTACTTGCCAAGATAAGATTGATTTTGGTAAATAACATACTCTTTGAGAAAATAAAGGGTGAATGGGCGGGGCTAGTATCTGCTAAGATAAGACTGATTTTGCGAAATCGAGAAATCGAAATCGAAACATCAAAAGATCGATAAGTCGAGAAGTTGAAAAATCGAAAAATTGGAAAGTTCAAAATCGAAAAAACTTAAAAACTCGAAAAATTGAAAAATCCAAAAATCAAAAAATATCGAATAGATGAAAATGTTGAAAAATGTAAGATTTAGAAACTCGCAAAATTTTAAAAATCGAGTAAGTAAAAAATCAATCAACACCAAAGTCCAAAAATCTAAAAATTTAAATATCGAAATTTTGAAAAATCGGAAAATTTATAGACGCCAAAATTTGAAAAATTGAAAAATCGAAAAATTTAAATAGGAACATAAATCCAAAAGTTGAAAGGTCGAAATTGGAAACTCGATTATTCGAGAAGACGAATAATCTAATCGAAAAACTGAGATATCGAAATATTTAGCTAAAGATCGAAAAATGGGGAAATTCAAAATCGAAAAATTTAAACATAAAATACCCGATAAATCGAAAAATTAAAAAATCGAAATAACGAAAAACTGAAAAATTAAATCCGAAAGCAAAAAATCATAAGACTGAGATATCGAAACAACAAGAAAGTGAAAAATATGAAATTCAAGAATTTCGAAAAATTGAAAATTTATAAAATCGATAAATCAAAACATCGACGAATCAAAAAATCAAAAAATGGAAGATTTGAAAAGTTGCAAAATTTTGAAAAATTGAAAAATAAAAAATAAAAAAACAAAGCCGAAAGATCTAAAAATTTAAAAATCGAAATACATAGTCAAAAATTTCAAAACGTAAACAATGAAAATGCGAGAAATCGAAAAATTGAGAGATCGAAAAATCGAAAAAACGAAATTCGAAAAGTCAAAAAAATCCATTAATCGGGAAATTGAGAATTCGAAAAAGCCGAAAATTTAGAAACGCCAAAAACTGAAAAATTGAAGAATCAAAAAATTTAAACGTATAAATCCCAAAACTGAATCAACGTTTCCGTTTAATTCCGAAAAATTGGAAAATCGGAAAATCTAAAGAGGAGAAGGCAAAAAATCGAAAAACCGAGAACTCGAAACAACAAAAAAGTGAAAAATCTAAAATTTAAAAATCCGAAAAATGAAAAAACTGAAAAATCAAAAAATGGAAGATTTAAAAAGTCGCAAAATTTTGAAAAATTGAATAAGTAAAAAATCACAAAAAAATAGAAAGTCGAAAAAGCTAAAAACTTAAAAATCGAAATATATATTGAAAAATCTCAAAACGTAAACATTGAAAAATTGAGAAATCGAGAAATTGAGACTTCGAGAAATTGGAAGGACGAAAAATCGAAAAGTCAAAAAATTAAAAAATCCATTCATCGAGAAGTTAAAAAAATCCAAAAATTTAGAAACGCCAAAAATTGAAAAATCGAAAAATTAAACACATAAATCCCAAAACGGAATGAACGTTTCAGTTTAATTCCGAAAAACTGAAAAATCGAAGAATCTAAAACGGAGAAGACAAAAAGTCGAAAGATTGAGAAATCGAAATAACAAAAACGTGAAAAATTTGAAATTTAAAAATTCGAAAAATTTAAAATTTACGAAATCGAGAAATCAAAACATTATCAACGAATCGAAAAATAAAAACAATTGAAAAACTGAAAAATGGAAAATTTAAAAATTCACAAGATTTTGAAAAATTGAATAAGTAAAAAATCACAAAAACAGAAAGTCGAAAAATCTGAAACTTTAAAAATCGAAATACATATTGAAACATCCTAAAATTGAAAAATCGCGAAATGTAAAATTTGAAAATTTGAGAAATCGAGAAATCGGAATGTCAAAAAATTAAAAAATCCATTAATCGAGAAATTAAGGAATGGAAAAATCCAAAAATTTAGAAACGTCAAAAATTGAAAAATTGAAAAAACGAAAAATTTAAACACATAAATGTCAAAACTTAAAAATCGCGAAATCGAGACATCAAAAGATAAGTCGAGAAGTCGAAAAATTGAAAAATCGAGATATCGTAATAGCTGAAGATCGGAAAATGCGAAAATTCAAAATTGAAAAATTTAAACTTAAAAACCCGATAAATTGAAAAATTGAAAAATCGAAATAGCGAAAAATTGAAAAAGTAATTTGGAAAAATTGAAAAATCGAAAAATCGGAAAATGAGAAGGTAAAAATCAAAAGACTGAGAAATCGAAACAACAAAAAAATGAAAAATATGAAATTAAGAAATTTCGAAAAATTGAAAATTTATAAAATCGAGAAATCAAAACATCAACGAATCAAAAAATCAAAAAATTGAAAGATCGAAAAATGGAAAATTTGAAAAGTTGCAAAATTTTGAAAAATTGAAAACTAAAAAATAAAAAAAACAGAAAGTCGAAAAATCTAAAAATTTAAAAATCGAAATACGTGTTCAAAAATTTCAAAACGTAAGCAATGAACATTCGAGAAATCGAAAAATCGAGAAATCGAGAAATCGATAAGACGATAAATCGAAAAGTCAAAAAATTTAAAAATCCATTAATCGGGAAATTGAGAAATCGAAAAATCCAAAAATTTAGAAACGCCAAAAACTGAAAAATTGAAGAATTGAAAAATTTAAATGATAAATCCCAAAACTGAACCAACGTTTCCGTTTAATTCCGAAAAATTGGAAAACCGAAAAATCTAAAAAGGAGAAGACAAAAAATCGAAAGACTGAGAATTTGAAACAACAAAAAAGTGAAAAACCCAAAATTTAAAAATTCGAATAATAAAGAAACTGAAAAATCAAAAATCAAAGATTTAAAAAGTCGCAAAAGTTTGAAAAATTGAATAATTAAAAAATCACAAAAAATAGAATGTCGAAAAAGCTAAAAACTAAAGAATCGAAATACATATTGAAAAATCCCAAAACGTAAACATTGAAAGTTTGAGAAATCGAAAAATTGAGACATCGAGAAATTGGAAAGAGGAAAAATCGAAAAATTAAAAAATCCATTAAGAGAGAAATTCACAAATCGAAAAATCTAAAACTTTAGAATCGCCAAAAATTGAAAAATCGAAAAATTTAAACACATAAATCCCAAAACTGAATCAACGTTTCAGTTCAATTCCGAAAAATTGAAAAATCGAAAGATCTAAAAATCAAAAGATTGAGAAATCGAAACAACAAAAAAGTGAAAAATCTAAAATTTAAAAATTCGAAAAATTGAAAATTACAAAATCGAGAAATCAAAATATCAACGAATCGAAAAATAAAAACAATTGAGAAATCGAAAAATGGAAAATTTAAAAAGTCGCATGATTTTGGAAAATTGAATAAGTAAAAATTAAAAAAAACAGGAAGTTAAAAAGCCTAAAAATTTAAAAATCGAAATACATATTGAAAAATCCCAAAACTGAAAAATCCCAAAACGTAAACACTGATGATTTGAAAAATCGAGAAATCGGAAAGATGAAAAATTGAAAAGTCAAAAAATGAAAAAAATCCATAAATCGAGAAATTGAGAAATCGAAAAATCTAAAAATTTAGAAGCGTCAAAAATTGAAAAATTGAAAAATAGAAAAAATTAAACACATGAATCCTAAAACTAAAATGTTGAAAAATTGTAAAATCGAAAAGTCGAAAAGATGAATTATTGAAAAACTGAGAAATCGTGAAATCGAGATCGGAAAATTTAAAAATCGCGAAATCGAAACATTAAAAGATCGATAAGTCGAAAAATCGAAAAAAATGAGATACCGAAATAGCTAAAGATCGAAAAATGGGAAAATTCAAAATTAAAATATTTAAACTTAAAAATCTCGATAAATTAAAAAATTGAAAAAACAAAATATCTTAAAACTGAAAAAATTAGTTCCCAAAAATTGAAAAATCCAAAAATCGAAAAATGAGAAGGCAAAAAGTCGAAAGACTGAGAAATCCAAACAATAAAAAAGTGAAAAATCTAAAATTTAAAAATTCGAAAAACTGAAAATTTACAAAATCGACAAATCAAAACATCAGCGAATCGAAAAATAAAAAAAATGAAAAATCGAAAAATGGAAGATTTAAAAATTCGCAAAATTTTGAAAAATCACAAAACAAAGTCGATAAATCCAAAATTTAAAAATCGAAATACATATTCAAAAATTTCAGAACGTAAACATTGAAAATTGGAGAAGTTGAAAAATTGAGAAATCGAAAAATTGACAAATCGAGAAATCGGAAAGACGAAAAATCGAAAGGTCAAAAAATTAAAAAACCCATTAATCCAGAAATTGATTAACCGAAAAACGCAAAAATTTAGAAACGCCAAAAGCTGAAAAATTGAAGAATCGAAAAATCTAGAAAGGAGAAAGCTAATATTGAAAGATTGAGAAATCGAAACAACAGAAGAGTGAAAAATCTAAAATTTAAAAATACGAAGAATTGAAAATTTACAAAATCGACAAATCAAAACATTAACGAATCAAAAAATGAAAATAATTGAAAAATCGAAAAGCCTAAAAATTTAAAAATCACATATTGAAAAATCCCAATACGTAAACATTGATAATTTAAGGAATCGAGAAATCGGAAAGATGAAAAATTGAAAAGTCAAAAAATGAAAAAATCCATTAATCGAGAAATTGAGAAATCGAAAAATCCAAAAATTTAGAAACGCCAAAAATTGAAAAATTGAAAAATCGGAAAAATTAAACACGTATCCCAAAACTGAAATGTTGAAAAATTGTAAAATCGAAAAGTCGAAAAGATGAATTATCGAAAAACTGAAAAATCGGGAAATTGAGATCGGAAAATTGAAAAATCGCGAAATGGAAATGGCTAAAAATCGAAAAATGGGAAAATTCAAAAATTGAAAAATTATAACTTAAAAAACCGATAAACCGAAAAAATGAAGAATCGAAACATCGAAAAACTGAGAAATTAATTCCGAAAATTTGAAAAATCGGAAAATCTGGAAACCAGAAAGCGCAAAATCGAAAGAAAACCGTTACATCGAAAACTGAAAAATTAATTCCGAACAATTGAAAAATCGAAAGATTGAGAAATCGAAACAACAAGAAAGTGAAAAATCTCAAATTTAAAAATTCGAAAAAAAATGAAAATTTCAAAAATCGAAGTAAGAAAAGTCCCAAAATTGAAATAGAAATAGAATACAAGTAGAAGATAAGGGGTTAAAGGTTGAATAAACCAATAAAAAAAAAAATCTGGCCCAAAAAATCTTCATTGCTAAAATTACTAGAACCTTGGCTCGGAAACAAAAAACAAAATAATAAACAAACAGAGATAATTTCTGAAGTAACAAAGTACGACCTACACGTAAAGGCAGCGGGAACGAAAAAATAAACAGAACATAATTTTTATATACTTATTTCATTCCGAGGTTTAGTCTACACAGTTTCTACCTGAAGAAGGGATTGTGTAATCAATTTCTGTAATAATTTAATTAGGATAAAAGTGTGTACAATTTACAACTAACAGGAGACTTAATCCTCTTAATATATTCCAGAAAGAGGAAAATGTTTGAGGTTTACGATTTATTGTTTTCCATATTACATCAAAATTAACATAACAGTTTTCGTAGCCTTGGACCACCTAAGAGGACAGATAAATGTGTTTTTCTTCTTACGTATTTACTTGTTGAAGAAGTGCGAAATATGACCATGAAGTTTTCAAAATCTAAAAAATCATTTACTCATGGTAAATTCTTCACTCTTTTGAGAGTTCTTACCGACATAAAAGATTCCAAAGATAAGTAAAAAACATTTAGTGCTGACATTTTAAGAGGTGTCTGTAACCTGAACATGAAAAACCAGATATTTTTTTGGATCTTTATAGAGAAATCGAGCCATTTAGATTCGTACATTGCAAAGGATACATTGTTACTCTAAAACAAAAAACTGAGTTATTTAGACAGAACTTACCTCGCCCCTGAAGCACAGGCACAATTTTGATTTTTTCAGGAAAGCGCATGTGTGACGTTAGATTACTAGATATAATAATTTCCTTGTGATATTGTTTTTATTGTTTTATTTACTAAAATTGATGGTGCTGATTTTTACTTACCTTCACTTGCACTTCGTTGCCAAACCAACAATACATAAAAATTTGCGTCACTATTGCTACTCCGTAAGCTGCAATAAACAAAAATTCCGTTGAGAAGGGTACAACCTAAAAAAGTTTATTACTATTGGTAAGTCAGATTCGTTACCACTACAATTTACAATAGTTATCTGGAATAGAGTTACTCCTACTATGACAACACTAATAAAAAATTGTATCAGAATGATCGACTCAAAAAACTGGTTGGCCTTTTCAGCAAACCTAAGACAATGTATTGAGTTACCTTGTTATATTTATCAAAATTTTACCTTAAAATCAGCCAATGGTGTTTGATACACTTAACCAAATTAGCTTTCACGTTGTCACCAAAGTGAAGTTTCCTCAAGTTATCACACAAAATATCAAACTGACAAGAAATGTACATATTGAAGGCAGCTATCAAAGTATCAATGTTGATATGAGTAAAACAAACATAAGTGTAGGTCAGCACTTGATGGATGTAAGTTATTTCATAAAAAGGCGAAATGTTCGTGTCGTATGGATACCAAGCCAAAAATGGTAACCTATTTTTTTCTTTATCAAGTAAGGGAAAAGCTGCCCAAAATAAGTTACCACCGACAGACATGATCATAAACACTTTGTAGGTGGTCTTCCAAAGGTCCAAATTTGGTTGAACCATGACAACCTGATTTATATCTCGTGGTTGAAACAAGTCATCGTTTAACATTGTCATCACTGTTTTCACCATGGACATGTTTTTGGCAATGTAGTAAATTTTAAAAGTACACAAAATCTCTGTTAATAGCAAGTAGATAATTCCCGTGAGAGCCACTAAGTCGTCAAGAACGAAGAACAGATTTGTTGCTTGCGTAAACAATGGTACTGGAAAAAATATTGTAACGAGAATTATGGTACGTACTGCGTAAAAATCTAGTTTAAAGGCTTCATCATCTTTAGGCCAAAATCCAAAGGTTTTCAGAAGGAGGATGTTGGGTTGGATTGTTATTTCCCAGCAGAATTTCTTGCGAACGTTCATGACTTAACTGTTGGAAGAAAAATTAATTTCAGGTAATTTTCTCCACACATTTTGCTAAAATGAACTAAACTTTACTTTTTTGTTGTGGTGGATAGAAACGTACTGACACTTTCACACCCTAAAACTGAAAAAATATCATTCCACAGGAAACCTAACGAAAAACTTACGAGTGTCAAATTTAAAAATACCAACAAAGCGAGTAAAATACGTACCTCAAGCTCATTCACGGATCAAATAGAAAATTACGCTAACACTTCTTGTTGCGACACAGAATTAAAACATTTTTAGAAGATCTTCAATAGTTGTAACTTTTAAGACATTTTAAAGAATTAACTACGATGTGAATCTTGTTGCCTCTGCGCAAGAAATGCCAGTGGTCTCTTACAAAGTCAGTATTATAATGAAGTTGGTTTAAATTAATAATGAACATTTTTAAAATTTCCCTGTTAAAGAGCTACGTATATCTTTATTAATTTTCTATGTGACGGTAATTATTACTTTTTTGCTTGACATTTGCAAAAAGATCTCGTGAGAGTTTCACTGAACTGCAACTCCAAGGTGCATTAATATTTAAGGCGTTAATTGCACGTTTTCGACTGAATCGATTAAATTTTCTAGAATGAAATGTATTTACGCGAAATATTTATGGACGATACAAAATTTTATTGGGGCAAATAGTAACAAAAATGGTCGACACGACAACGAAAAAACAACAACGAAGAATTTCAAACCTCAGTTTGTCAACAAAACGTTTATAAAACAGAAAGTTGTCTTTGTAAATTAAATTAAAATCGAATAATTAAAAAATCCCGTAGCTTATTTGACTCGATTTTTTTTCACTTTTTCATTTTTTTGTTCCTTCTTTTTTTCGAGTTTTGAAGTTTAAATTTAATTTTTCAATTTTTCAACTTTTCAGTTCAATTTGTAGATTTTGCAAATTTTCGATTTGAGTTTCTCGAGTTTTCAGTTTTTAATTTTTCCATTTGCAAAGTTTTGTTTCAGTTTTTTATTTTCGTTATTTTTACAATTTTTCAATTTTTCAATGTTCCGATTTTATAATTTTTGTTTTTACAGTTTCACTTTTTTCAGTTTTTCAATTTGCAATTTTTTAATTTTTTGTTTTTTTTTCTCTTCTAGTTTCCATTTTTAAATTTTCCAGTTTTCCGACTTTCCAACTTTTGGACGTTTCAATTTTTTTATTGTGCAGTTTTCGATTTGAAATTTCACGAGTTTTCAATTTTTAATTTTTCAAATTCTAGATTTTTTCAGTTTTCGTTTCTTCAGTTTTTCGAGAAAAACGAGGAAATATTCTATCTGACTTACATTAGGAGTACAGTCCAAAATTATTGAATTATGGATTGACTTTATATTTTTTATTATAATATCTCTTGTTCTTTGCGGCAAAAAATTGTTGAAAAAGACATATTCCATATGGTAATTTTTTGTAGAGACATGAGGATTTTGCAACTAAACTCCGCCCCCTTCAGCTCACGATGAATAAAATATTCATCACAATTGAGAATGGGTGGGTGGGCGGGGCTTATATTTGGTCCATTGTTTCTTAATAAACGAAGTTTTCTTTTCCCAACAAGAAACTGACAATATGTTTAACTATCCTGATTTCAAAGAAAACTCTATATATTAAAAAAAAACAAACAAACAAAAATTAAGCCTCACCCACCCGACCGATCTCAATTGTGATAGTTTTTCATTTCTAATCAGACCGAAGGGCGGAGTTTAATTGTAACATCAATATTTCTCTAAGAAATTCTATCCTTTTAAAAACATATTTCATATGGTAATTTCTTGTAGAGAAATGAGGGTTTTGCAGCTAAACTCCACCCTTTAACTCACGATGAATAAAATATTCATCACAATTGAGAAGGAATGGGTGGGCGGGGCTTAAATTTTGTTTTTCTTAATATACGAAGTCTTCTTTTCCCAACAAGAAACTGAAAACATGTGTATCTATCCTGTTGTTGAAAGAAAATTCTCGTATTAAAGAAAAAACAAAGATTAAGCCCCACCCACCCGCCCCGATCTCAATTGTGATGAATTTTTCATTCGTTGTTAGTTCGAGGGGCGGAGCGTAATTACAAAACAGACGACTAAAATTATTAATTAAACCACAATCGAACAAAATGTTATGAACATTATAATTCTTACTTTATGATTATTATATATATGTATATAAAGACGTGCGTTTTCTCATATTCTCGAGCAAATGGGGTAACTGATTCGTTTTTAATTTGACCAATAAAAAATTTGTGATGACGCCATCAACATGGATAATATTAGTCACAGCACAAGAAAAAAGTTGTCACAGCGCATTATCAGGACAAACCCAACCTTAATGATTGCTGAAAAAGGATGGTTATAGATAGAGTAAGAGATGGGCTATACATTTTCAAAAAGTAAGTTGGTATTCCATCCGGTCCCGGATTGAAATTATTTTTTAAAGATACATGTTTTTGGAAAGCAGCATCAAACTTTTTTTCAAGATTGTTCATCAGCTGGAGAATTTCAGAATCATTCGTGATCGAATTCCGGGTATTGTCATTTGGTGTCTGGAAACGTTGTACATAAACCAAAAAAGTCGGCAAACAAGTTACAGATTTGCTGGGGATCATTAGAGCTTACATTATTGTAGGTTACAAAATTAGGAACAGAAACTGATTTATTAACTGATTTAACAAATTTCGAAAAAATTATTAGTGCTGATGATATTATTTTTTTTCTTCACGAGCATTTTTGTAGCTCTAGAAAATCAGGTTGGAAAATTGTTATTTTTTATCATATTTAGATTTACTAATAATAAAAACAGAACAGGTGTTGCTTATCGCATCATAAAAATGATTAAAATTTGTTTCAAGATCCGTTGTACTCAGAAGGCGTTCCAGTCTACGGAACAAAAATAATCATTAATAGAATCGTAAGGTGCATTTTTAAAGTTAAATTTATACAATGGTGGAGATTCGATTCCGCAAAGATCTGAATAGTCTCGTGGTAAAAATCGATTACTTTAGTTCTGAGACCCCTTAATTTTGGTAAAAAATTTGTCGAGTTACTTGTATTTTCGGATGTTTTTTGATATGTCTACAATTTCGGTAGACATTTGCGATAAGTAATTTTTAACAACTTCTAAATCGTTCTGAGATTGCTCTTGCGATGTCGTTTTATCTCATTCCTTGATGTTGAAAAAAATAACATTATTTTCTCTACGTTGTGTATCCAAAATCTTCGTGACGATCGAATTATAAACGAGACCTTCGCTATTATTATCATTAGTAAAAATGTTTTCCACCTTATCAGAAATGACTCGTCGACCTTATAATGATTTTATACGTAAATACTACATTATTTTTGTCAAATAAGTAAAATAAGCTAATTAACAGGCGATTTTTTTCTGATTTAGCGAATTTAATATTTCCAAAGGATAACAAAAAAATATTTTTTGTACAAGCAATGAAATAATAGGTTATGAAGTCGAAACATTTCTGAGGATGCTTATGAATTATATGATATAGTGTCTTATATACGAGTATATACATCAACAATCAGACAAATGAGTTTTTCTTTTTAGGAATTTACTTGTTGAAGTAGTGCGAAATATGACCATGAAGTTTTTAAAATCTAAAAAATGATTTGCTCCTGGTGAATTCTTCACACTTTTGAGAGTTCTTACCGCCATAAAAGATTCCAAAGATAAGTAAAACACATTTAGTGCTGACATTTTAACAGGGGTCTGTGACCTGAACATGAAAAACCAGACATACTTTTGGATTTCTTTCGAAAAATCGGGCCATTTAGATTCGTAGATTGCGAAGGAAACAATATTACTCTAAAACAAGAACTGGTTTAGATTTGTTTACACAGAACTTACCTTGCCCCAGAAGCACAGACACAACTGGTGTGTGATTTTTAATTACTTACCTTAACTTGCACTTCGTTGCCAAACCAACAATACATAAATATTTGCGTCACTACTGCCACGCCATAAGCTATAAGAAACAAAAATTCCGTTGAAAACGGTGCAACCTGAAAAAGTTTATTAGTGTTGGGAAGTCAGATTCGTTATCACTACAATTTACAATAGTTATCTGGAACAGAGTTATCCCCACTATGATGACACTAATAAAAAATTGTATCAGAATGATCCACTCAAAAAACTGGTTGGCCTTTTCAGCAAACCTGAAACAATATATTGAGTGACAGTGTTTTATTTGCCAAAATTTTACCTTAAAATCAGCCAATGGTGTTTGATACACTTGACCAAATTGGCTTTCACGTTGTCACTAAAGTGTAGTTTTCTCAAATTGTCACACAAAATATCAAACTGACTAGTAATGTACATATTTAAGGCAGCTATCAAAGTATCAATGTTGATATGCGTAAAACAAATATAAGTGTAGGTAAGCACTTGATGGGTGTAAGTTATTTCATAATAAGGTGAAATGTTCGTGTTGTATGGATACCAAGCCAAAAATGGTAATCTATTTGCTTCATTAGCTTTATCAAGCAGGGGAAAAGCTGCCCAAAATAAGTTACCACCAAGAGCCATGACCATAAACGTTTTATATATGGTCTTCCAGAAGTCCAAATTTGGTTGTACCAAGACAACTTGATTGACGTCTCGTGGTTGAAACAAGTCATGGTTTAACATTCTCATCAGTGTTTTGACTATGGACATGTTTTTCGTAATGTAGTATATTTTAAAAGCACACAAAATCTCTGTTAGTAGCAAGTAGATAGTTCCAGTGAGGGCGACTAAGTCATCAAGAACGAAGAACAAATTTGTTGCTTGGGAAAACAGTGATACTGGAAAGAAAATTGTAACGAGAATTATGGTGCGCACTGCGTAAAAATCTAGTTTGAAAGCTTCGTAATCTTTAGGCCAAAATCCAAAAGTTTTCAGAACGAGGATGTTAGGTTGGATTGTTAATTTCCAATTGAAGTTTTTGAGAACCACCATAACTGGAAGAAAAATTAATTTCTAGTAA